GTTCCACTACTGGACACGGACCTATCTTCAATATATCTAGAGGAATTAGGCCATAGTACATACGCTTGTTTTTCGAAAACTTGCTAGGTTCTCTCAGCCATGCAAGTTTCCTCACGATGTTTTCCTTCAACGTAAGGCAAGAGGTAATCATGTTGAAATTTGGAAATGATTCGTACATGAAAATATCAGAGGCGAGACCTGAACCCGCTTTACTCGGTTTTGCGTAAGTCGTTACGAAGGAATCTGACGTATCCTTTAACCGACTTAGCTAGCGTCATAAAGGATGAATACATACAATATTATAATAACAGATGGTATTCGAGTGGAGGGCGAGTAAGTCGCTAGTGCAATATAAGCACACAGTAAAATAAATCCGAACGTGTCATTCTTTGTTACGATCCGGATAGGTGTCGTGACGTCACGTTGCTGACTGTACACGCCGCACTCTACACCGGTGACACACACAGACACAGACACGCGAGTCTATAATATGGATATAACATTATTTCTCTTTATATTTTATATAAAACACTGATAAATAAAACTACAATATGTTTAATTTATAGATTAATTTTATTAATAAAAATTAGACGAGATAATAAGAACATATAATGACTTAAAATAAAAAATATAACTAAAATTAAAGAAACGACATCTAAAGATTATTCATCAAATATTATTTACTTCTAAAACATAGGTAATATCTGTGATTAGCGAAAAAATAAACAAAAGACTAAAGACAATTTAAAGTACTAATATGAACTACTTAGATATAAAATTAATTTACTCTCTTTACATGTGTAGTAATAAAATTAATAGAACTACTTTATTTTAAATGCGGATGTCTGTGTGTTTGTATGTTTGTAACTCCTTCACTCTGTAACAGCTGAGCTGATTTGGATGAAAAGTATACCTACAGCTAGTTTATGATATGGTTTGGATACAGACGTGGTTTGGTTCATAGGGCCGCTGATATGTATACTGTATATATTTTTATTATTTTCTAAATTTCTTATAAAATTACATGTTAATTAATTATCAACCAATATGCCGAGTACCATAGTAAACTGAAACATTCTGCCCAGCAATGTTTCCCAGCAGTGGGTGATATTTTACAAGCGCAACTATAATTTTTAAAATCAGTCCTGAAAATTTTTTCATTAATATGATCGCGCCGACGATTTCTATTAAGTTTATTGCTATTGATTAGAATGTTGGAATTAATATTCCTTCGTTCAAAGTCATTACGATTTTTAACTAATTTTTAATTAAAAAAAAATTTAAGCAGTTTTGAGATCCTTTCATCACATAGAAATAAAATTAGCTTTACGGATTTTTTCTAGTATGTATTTGGTTTGATTTTTGGCCACCATCTATACCTACATATAATAAAATTGTAACTAAGCCGAATCTGCACATTAAATATTTTTTGGAAAATCTTATTGAAATAAACATTATATCGATACAGAGGCCGAATCTATAGTTTTTAGAATTTTTGTCTGTCTGTCTGTCTGTTACCGCATCACAGAAAAACCACTGGAGGGATTTTGATGAAATTTGGTATGGTGATAGCTGGTTATCCGGGTCAACATATAGGATACTTTTTACCGCGGGAAAATATCTCATTTCTGAGAAAAAATACAAGAGCTGCAATGTAAGAGTATAATAATATGTAAAACCTAAGAATTTGGTTTTTGGTCATCTGAACGCGGGCAATGCTAGTCTTCAATAAATTCCAAAAAGATAGTAACATTAAAATGTCAATGTCATTACATAAAACTTAATTTTTTCTATCAACTTTATCAACTTTACGTATGAAACAAAAGAAGAAAGTCAAATAATATAACAGTACTTAATATATATTTAGAACTAGTTAGCATTGAGTTACTGAACGTTGCTGGCGACCTTTTCACGCTTGAAACTCAGTGTTTTATTTATTTAATTTCAAAGATGTAACTTTACATTCACCTTTAGTATTTAAGATAAGGTAAGTGGGAAGTAAATCGCGTTTCTTTTGAAATAAGCTTACAACTATACAGCACTATTTTTTTATTATTTCTGAGTTGCGGCTATTAGATCACTATGACCATGTCTGGCCTATAGTGATCACCGCATGGGCGCATATTAAGCTATAGTAACCCACTTTACCCTTTTGTTACGTTCTTTTCGAAGGAAAACCGTAGATACATTATTGATATCCGTCGCAAGATATGTAAAAGTTGAAAGATCGTTTCAATCGATTCACGTCTGCTTGATAAGTGAATGTAAAAATTACGAAATAAAAAAGTAATATAAAAAAAATTAAACCGACTTCAAAAAAAGGTACTAAAAAGTAAAAAATAACAGAACGGGGATTTTCATTTACTATATTACGAGTACCTAATCAGATATTTCCGAAGACGGTTAAACACTAGACTAAGTACTCTTAAATTTCATACTTAGATTTTTTTATATAAAAAAAGGGTTTTTTTTAATTTTATTATTGAAGAAATAAACAAACAGACATTTAATACGAGTTTTATGTTATGTATACATAAGTTATAACGTGCTTTGTATTCTGACCACGTTCTTCTTGCCATAATACAGAGACCACCTGTACGGACACTGTGCTATATTTTAAAACTCTTATCCTTATTATATATCTAATAACTATGTGCATATATTTGTAAAAAGATGAAAAATTAAGAAGAAGAGAAGAAAAATGAGAAGAAGAAAGATGATATTCATGATGTGTAACTATTTTTCTGTTTATAATTTACACAACATTCTTCCAATCAAATTTCAAACATTTTGTTTAACGGTCATTATTATCTATTTTATATTTGTTTAAAGAGAACCTAAGCTTTTACGTCTGTGCTTCAAAAAAAATCTCAATATAAAATATTCTCTCTTCACTAATAAATTAAACCAGTAATGCAATACAGGTTTACGTTATGACTTCGATTTTTACGTGAAAGATAGAAAGTGCAAACAATACAGTATTCTTGAAAATAAATTGTCCTTCTTGTACACATAATAAGTATGATGATGATGATGTTTTCCTAGCCGATTCCGGCTACGGCGGCCAATCTCATTGAGACTAGCCAACTGCGCAGGAGATATTATAGTGCTCAAGTGTACGCACAGACACAACGTGCACTCTCTATTCTTATCACTATACTCCGGTGGGACGACCACTCGACACGACCGGTGAGAGTTAATAATAAGTATATAACGTGTAGATTAGAAATGGGAAATTACTTAGGATAAATCCTAAGCTTATTAGCTAGCACCTTTTTACCTCCACGTCCTTTGTGATGCAAAAACTAGAAAACGTTCCGACATACAATAGTTATACTGACAATGAAATATTTCATTCTGTTACTGGCTGTGCAGAAAATAATGTAATATATAAAATAATAACATAATATATGTAAATATTTCTATAGCATCCTCATTGAAATCCTTATAAGTATTACAAATGCGTGCGTTTTTTGTTTTTCACGTGGTAACGGAAATAAACGATGAGTACTTTTTATTTTGGTTTAGAAAGAGACGTAATCTATAGATATAATAAAATTCTAACTGAATCGGATCGAATCGATATAGAAGCCGAATCTATAATTTTTAGAATTTTTGTCTTTCCGTCTCTCTGTATGAGAACGCATCACGAGAAAACCACTGGACATATTTTGATGAAATTTGGTATGATAATAGCTAGTTATCCAGGTCAACATACAGGATACTTTATGCTCCGGGAAAATATCTTATCTCAATCCTATTTACTGACAGATCAATCATGGAATCTTAAAGGTCAGTCAAAGTAGTTTGTGTAATTATAAATTTACATTTTAATGTGATCGGGAAGAATGTTTTATTGAAAGTATTCGAAAGATATTAAAAGATTATATGAACAAAACTGTAGGCTTGTTGGAAAAACATTATATCTGATTTCCAGCATATACCTATTGAATGGAACCAGTGATTATCTGCATAGAAACCAAGATTCTTAAAGGCATTAGCATCTTACTAATATTATAAATGTGTGAGTTTAGATGTTTGGATGTTTTTATTCTAGTGACATATTTTTTCTATCATTAGAAAAGCGTGGGAAAATGCTTTCCACTTACATTTTATCAATCGAGTTATTATTCTTATAAGTTGACCTCGTTAGACTTTTTTATACACCTAACAACAAAACAACAACAAAGGCAGTGGTAGCACAGTGGTTACGCGCTTGCTTGGGAAACCGAGTGAAGCGGATTCAAATCCCGGGTCTCGTGCCTCTGATATTTTCATGTGCGAATCATTCCCAACATGATAACAACTTGTCTTAGAGCGTGTCCACACGGCGCGTTGCGTTGCGTTGCGTCGTCGCAACGCAAATATTTTGACGCATAGCCGGCCACACGGGCGCTGCAGCGTTACTATGACGCAGTCAACGTTCCGTCGGCGCAGCGGCGACGCACAGTTGCGGCAAGTATTTTGAAAAAAATTCGCAGTCAGTCTATAGCAAATCATGGATCGGAAAAGACGTCTAGCATTGCTCCTATTACTACGTCACCGCCGAAATCGACGCAAGATCACAAGACGGTACTGGATCAGTCCTTTCATTTCATTAAGAAATCGTGATGGACAGTTTTTTTTTTTTGAATATCGGGAGTTGCTATTAGACGAAAAGAAGTTTTATAATTTTTTTAGAATGAGTGTATCCAGCTTCGAATGTTTATTGAAGTCCTTAGAACCACACATACGAAAAAACTATACTAATATGAGGAATCCAGTGGAACCAGTAGAAATGCTGGGAATCACTTTAAGGTAACTATATAAATATATTTAAGTAATAAAAATATAACAGTTTTTTTGGTTTGTTTAATTAGTAATCAACTCACAAATAATCAGCAATTGTCATAATTTTAAATTTAGACATTATTTAAGAGAGTAATCAACTCACAAATAATCAGCAATTGTCATAATTTTAAATTTAGACATTATTTAAGAGAGATATCATCCAGTAATTACAAATTAGAAAAATCGTATTCAGTTTCTTCACTTGCTTGAGATGTTTCTGGAGATGTAATTGAATTATTAAAATCAGAAATGTATGTACTTTGAAAATTTGCTGTTTGATACCCATATGGTGGTTGGTGAGACGTTGATGGGCCACTCACATATGATGATGTTTGTCCATACCGCATTTCATCTATAATTTGTATAACTTTACTTTGGAAACGGAGAGTTTCTCGGTCGGAAAATTCTTGAATAGATGGCAATATAGCTCTGAAAAAGGACATATGGCGATTTTCCGGCTCCTTGAGAAGTTTTAGTCCTTCTCTTTCAAACTCATCCATTTGCATTGCCCTTTTGCGCGCGACTGGAACATAGCGCGGAGTGTTGTCTGTGGTAATGTCATCATTTGTAGACGTAGATTCATTGTTGATTTCTCTAGGCGAGTCTAAGCTAGATTCGGTGGCATTTTGTTCCACTTTTCTCAAAAAAAGGAGTTGATTGTATAAATGATACTTCTTCAGTTTCGTAGCGCCCGAGCCCGATTTTGATGCTTCTTTTAATTTTTTTGAATATCTGAAGTAATTATCTTTTACACTTCTCCATTTTTTTATTAAATCATTACCTGCAAAACCAATAGTAAACATGATTTAATAATTTATACATAGTGAATTTCTCGATAAAATTTAATGACATATTCAGATATCGTTAACAAACACTATGTGACCGACTCTGGAATCGTGAAAATATAACAGCTGTTACATACAAAAAGCAATACCTACTGAATCAAAATGTATGCAACAGCTGCTATTTTTTTCGCGATTCCAGAATTAATTGGTTACATAGAGAAAGTTATTTGCTATCGATGTCTGAATATGTCAGTATTTTTTTTCGGGTATCTATCTATCTCATAAATGCATATTATAATAATTATTTTCTTTTCAGATACCTAGGAAGTGGAAATTCAATAACTGATTTACATTTCAAATTCAAACGGGGAAAATCTACTATTGCATATATAATACAAAGAGTTTGTCGTGCTATATGGACCAATCTTCTTCGAGACAACATCCCTGAACTGACAACTGAAAGTTTCCAAACAATAGCGAGGGGTTTTGATGTAAAGGCAAATTTTCCTCAATGTGTTGGTGCCATCGACGGCAAACATATCCGCGTGTGTAATCCTGCAAATAGTGGCTCACTTTTTTTTAATTATAAAGCCTTTTTTTCGATTGTGTTGCTAGCTATTGTGGATTCAAATTACAAATTCGTATTTGTCGACATCGGTGCATACGGAAAAGAATGCGATTCAACCATATTACAAAATTCTAAACTGTACGAGCTAATGATTAACAACAACTTACCACTACCTCAACCCCAGCCACTCTCTGGTAGCAATATACCAACCCCGTATGTATTTGTGGGTGACGAAGCTTTTGGACTGAGCAAACATATTATGCGTCCATATGGCGGTCAAAATCTCGACTTACAACAAAAGGTTTTCAATTACCGTCTAAGCAGAGCCAGAAGATATGTCGAATGCGCTTTTGGGATTATGGCTAACAAATGGCGCATTTTTCACAGACCGATAGACGTGTCCTATGACTTCGCTACTGACATTATAAAAGCATGTTGTGTATTACACAATTTTGTCGCTGATCGAGATGGTTTTAGACAAAGAGATAAATTTGCTATAAGTGTTGATGAATTTCTCCCAATACAACCCGTACATGAAGAACAGACAGCACCGAATGTCATAAGACAGCAATATGCGACCTATTTTATGACTAGAGGAACTCTGCCTTGGCAGCTAAATAAGGTATAATTGTATTATGAGGGTTTTCAAGATTTTCTTGCACCGCCAATTCCGCGATCAGTAAAAAAATAATATTTTATACCTACTCAGCGTAGTCTAGGTTAGTTTTGAGCTAAGTAATAAAATAGTACTCACGCTAATCTAAATTCCCTAAGTTTTAAAATTTTAGAGTGTCGAGATATTAATTTTGTACTGATCGCGGAATTGGCGGTGCAAGAAAATCTTGAAAGCCCTCTTAAATAAAAAAAACATAAATATCTGTACTGTGAACTCACCAACTTTATTTTTTCGTTCAGCTGTGAAATTCTCGTAATCAGGAAATAAAACTTTTGATATGTCTTCCCAGGCTTTTGTTTTTAAATTTTTATTTTTAAAATCTACGTTTGACTTGTCCCATATAATTTCCCTTTCCTGTATCAATGTAATCAAGTAATCTATGTCAATTTCTTCAATGGTATTCATTTTACCCTGCAAATAAAACTAATTACCCTGCAAATAAAACTAAATACAAAAACGTAAACGTAAAACGAAATGAGCTTCCGTGTATCCTCTCTGTCAACGCACAAGCAACTGAGCGCTGACGCTCCGACGTCGCACGAGTACATCCCCTCCCGCTTCGTCTCGGGGGCTGCTGTCCGTCATGTGTGCGTTGCGACGACGCAGCGCGCCGTGTGAACACCTTGGTTATTTGTATGTAAAACAACGCAGTGGTAGCGCTGCGTCGACGCAACGCTGACGCAACGCGCCGTGTGGACTGGCTCTTACGGTGAAGGAAAACATCGTGAGGAAACCTACAAGTTTGAGAGAAACTTAGCCTTAGCTTTTGTATGGGGTTTTAAATATGACGTAAGCAGTTTGGCGATTTCTTTAGATTTTATTGTTAATGCTGTAATAAACATCAGCAGTTAAAAACAGATAGATACACAATTTTTTATTACGATATATAGACCTCAATATCATACAAAAACATTGTAAGCTCATACTAGTTCAGCTATTTTAATATCAAATTTACTTATTAGTAGATGCTTATTGGTATTTAAAACTCATTGGTCGTTTAATCTGAACTTTAGCATTTTTAATTTCATCCGGTTAATTATTGTACTTATACAGCAATTGACCAAAGGCACTATTTTTCCTAGGATCTAAGGCAATTACATAATTAAGTGGTTCTATTAGAAGATCTACTTAAGTACATAATTGGTTTAGGATAAGAGTGGTCGCACAATAGCGGTGTAACCTAGACCCGGCTGATTTCATTTGCGATGCAATTCAAACTGTACAAGCAAGGACTTCAAGTTTTTTATGATAACGTAATGTCTTCCTTGTAAGAGCTTGGTGTGCATTGTAGCCTTTTAGTTCAGATTGGTTGTTTAATTATGCTATCTAGTGTTAGTCCAGTGGTCGAAATTGTATCATATATAACGCTAAAGCTTGCGTTAATAGCTACTAAAAATCTGTTGACAAACAAAGGAGGAAAAGCTACGTCTTGTTTTGACTTTGCCTATTTATATGTAGATCCTAGTAGCTAACCCCGTTGCTTAGCTCGGGTTCGCCTCTAGAAAAATAAAAACAAATCTGTCCCACGGGAATCGTACATTTTTCCGGGATAAAAGTAAACTATGTGCTATTCCAGACTATATTCTTTGTGCCTCATCCAGATCCGTTTAGTCGTTCTGGCGTGATTGAACTTCACATTTATAATATTAGTAAGATTATGATACAAAGTAATAAGCGAGAGAGAGAGAGAGAGAATAAGACTTCGAAAATATCTTATTAGGTATCTATTCTAAAAGAAAATCCCCGTTTAGTTATTTTTTACATTTTAGTGACTGGAAGTCAATTTTTATCAAGATGATTATAACTCTTCTTGCGGTGAAGGAAAACATGACATTTCATGATTCAATTCATCACAAAACACATTTCTTGTATATTTTTTTATTTGTTGTAAATAGCGACAATAGAAATTCATACTCTGTGAAAATTTCAACTCTCTACCTATTACGGTTCATGAGATCTCATGAACCTGAGGGCTCTCTGACAGACGGACGGACAGCGGAGGCATAGTAATAAGGTTCCGTTGGCACCCTTCGGTTACGGAACCCTAAAAACAGTGTTCTTACTGTCAATGACTTATAAATAATTACACATTTTTATGACATTAATGCATATATTTGTATTGTTTATATACTCTTTATTGTACACCACGGAGTTACAAAACATAATAAGACAATGTACTTATTGGAAAAGAGAGGCAAGTATGACTTATGAAGCACAAAAGGCGGTATTATCGTTATTCAGTAATTCCTTCCATACAAACTTTGGGTTAGGAACTGACGTATAACTTACAAATTATACAATACATACAATCTAATATTACATTTTAACAGTCTCGGTGATCAAGTGGCTATATACGGCTGCGGTTCGGGAGGTCCTGGGTTCGAGTTCTGGGTCGGTCCAAGATTAGATTACCCAACGAGGAAGGCAATATTTATAAACATTATTATTAAAATACAACTAAACGATATTTTAATAATATTATAAAATTGTAAATAATAAAATATAAATAACCAATTTTAAATTTATATTATTATTTTATTATTAACATTTTTATTGAAAAACAAAATTATAAATAACAAATTATTATGATGAATCAATATAATGTAATGTATATTCAAACATTTAATATAAAACTATAACTAAGTAATACTATAGATGTAAAAGTATTGATAGCTTTAGCTAATGTTTAAATACTTTCCTTTTGGAGGTTAATGCAAAGAAAGATGATTAGTTGTAGAAGAAGGTAATAAAATGCAACAAATCTTGTTTCCAGTTTATAAAGTACCGACTATGATGTCCTCCTAGCCGACTTTGGTGACTATGGACATTCTCGTTAAGACTAATGTGTACAGACGCAAGTGCACTCTCTATTCGTTTAACACATTCTCTATTCATTACCGATGCGACGACAACTCGACTGGCGAGTCGGTAAGATGTAACTTAACGTGTTCTCCGATGCCGCCGACTGCCCAACATCGAACTGCTACTGAGTTTCACTAGCTAGATAGCTAGAAGTTTATGATACTGAGTAACTTTGTGACAGAAAAATCTAGGCCCCCATCCCTAAACTAATAATTAAACCCCTTTTTTAACATTGGGAAATGTATTTAGGCATTCCACCTGCATACATACAGGTTATGTGGGACTCACCGGCAAAGCCAGTACTACCCACTAAAACCCAACGGAACTACGCCTGTCTGGTCCTCCCCCGATAATTTGAACGTACGTTTGAGGGTTAATAATTAAAACCTAACCTAATCTTACAGATAGGCTATAATCTAGATTCTAGAGTGAGACATAGGCTACCAAGCACATATGTATAGGCTAGGATAGCTAATGACGCACTCAAGCGGAACGAGAGTGAGTCGCTAGTAAAAATTTTTTTAGAATTACTTGAATATTCGACATTTTGAATTTTAAAATACTCCCTTGACCGTGCTTATTGTAAAGTATTCGAAACGTCGGGAAGTAAAAATCCAAATAAATCCGCAAAAAAAGTATTGTTTAAAAATTCGCTAGTAAAAAACATATAGACCACAAGTATGTTTGTTTTTTGTATTGAAATTTAAATATTATTATAAAAATCGATATTTTGACGTCGAAACTGAAACAGCTGTGGAACTAATCGTAGAGTTATCATAACACTGCACTATAAACAAAATACAGTTCGATTTATTCATAAGAAAATATTTGAAATGAATTTTGTTTTACAATCAGCTGACAGCATTTACTTACAATGATCAACTACAATAGTCGCTTAGAGAAACACAGAAAGGTAAAAATTTCAAAAATTGTTTTTTAATTTCTTATGTATATACTTTCTTAAAAATTAAAAACCGACTTCATAAAAAGCACTTATAAATAACTGATTGCTAGTTTTCATTTACTATACATACCTAAGCAAATATTTTCTAAGTGGGTGTGCTTTGATTTGTATCGGCTGGCACCGAATCTCTTCCTTCAGGAAGAAGGAAGTGATTTAAAAAAAATTGTAGTATTTTTATTTTACTAGGTATTTTACTAGGTACCTAATATTATAAATATTTTTTTTTGTTTTCTACCTCTCAAAGTGTTAGACTAATTTTGATTAAAATTATTCAGTTTATTGATTCCGTATTTAACTGAAATGGAATTTATATCTTGAAAAAAAAACAACCCTTTGTTTTTTAATTTTCCTTTCAATCTTAAATGCGCTGAAATCCTTACAGATATCATTTAAAAATTAATAAACAATCACAAATTTTGTACTCAACAGTCGGCAATGGATCGTACCCTCCGTTCCCTCCTACTAAGAAAAGTCATTGGAAAGCCGACGCCGTGCGACGGATGCGCGCCTGCTGCTCTAAGAAGACCCTGTTGCGACGAGTGCCCATACTGGCCTGGCTTCCTAAATACACGTTTAGAAGCGGCCTCGCGGATATTATAGCAGGTACGTGATATTTCTCTTTTTAAATTAAATAACAGAGGAAGATATTTAGATTTAGAGGTACCTGAGAGTAGAAAATATATGAATATTAGTTATCTGTACAAATATAGGTCAAACAACTTCAAAGTTATACTTTCATAGATTTACCCGGATCTTTTAGGATCTTTTAGCAAATTAATTTTTAGTTTTGTTTCCCATCTTTTCGAATGCTTTACAGCAATAATTTACTTTTTACTGCATACATGTTTTTTAATTTATTACTATGAAAAACTTGTACCTACTAGTTTACTACGACAAAAACAAAGCAATTACTTGTTTAAAATTTAAAATTTTCTCACGAAAATAAATGATGGTAAAAATAATCATCTAACACAAAGAATGCCAGCGACCTCTCGAATATCTAATTATTAAATACTAACGAATACCCGCGACTCCGTTTTCAACTTGATAAATCAAAATCGTTTTAAAAGTAGTTTATATACCTCCTCCAGTCAAGCATGAGTTTCTCAATAAGTTTCTGGAAAACGTGGACAACGTGACTAACCACGTTGATGATTTAATAGTATTGGGGGATTTCAATATGGGTTTTATCAAATGGTGTGCTAATGATAACTGTACATATATGTCTCCGTGTAATTACAATAATGCCCTCGGACACTCATTAATTGATTTTATGTCTATAAACAATCTACATCAATTTAATTGTATAGGTAACTGTGATGATAGACACTTGGACCTAGTATTAAGTAACCTTACTGATATTACGGTAGTAAAACCTCCTGATTTACTCACTAAATTGGATACTTACCACCCAAACTTGCTTATAAGAATTGACTTTTTACACGCATGCTTCCTAAGATCCAAAGGTCGCATCGATTACAGTTACTTTAAAGCAGATTATATTCCTATTGTAAAGGAAATTAAGAATATTGATTGGTTACAAATATTTTCAGAGTGTAAAAATGTCGATGCTATGGTTGAAGTTTTTTATAATCATCTCTATAAGATAATTGATAAATTAGTTCCTAAACGTAAGTCACAGTCAGCAAAATACCCTGTTTGGTTCAATTCAAAATTAATTAAGTTAATGAAAGAAAAAGACAATCTTCATAAAAAATTCCGTAAGTACAACAACCCTCGGGACTATTTAGAATTCCAAATAATCCGAAGCCGCTGCCATAAGCTCTACGATATCTGTCACAATAATTATAAACACAACGCTGAGTCAAATATTTCCAAAAACCCAATGTATTTTTGGAATTATTTTAAACAGAAAAAGAAATGTGACTCATCTTTTCCCGCATTAATGAAGCTGGACAACAGAACTGCCAGTACCGGTACTGATATCGCTAATCTATTTGCGAATCATTTCTCCTCTATTTATACCCAAACGGCTAGTCAACATCCAATTAATAAATTACACCAAAACAGTAACATTCCACAGCTATCCAAGTTTAAATTCGTAGAGGCAGATGTGGCAAAAAAAATTAAAACATTGGATATTCAAAAGGGGACAGGTCCAGATTGTCTTCCGCCCATTTTTGTAAAACGTTGCGGTTCCGGTCTTGCATTCCCTCTCATGCTGATCTTCAATCGTTCCCTCGATGAAGGTGTATTTCCCGAAGCGTGGAAAAGAGCACGAATCGTACCCCCATACACCGTACATTCCCAACGTATCGAAAGCGTACAACGCGCTTTTACAAGGTACCTTGCATTCCATGCCACTGGTATCTCACATAGACAACCCTATAATCAGAGATTGGTTGAATTTAAAATGATGTCTCTTCGAAGCAGGCGGGAGATACTTGATCTGTGTTTCTTGCACAAAGTAATCAATTACAAAGTCAAGTGCAGCAAGCTGCTTGAACGAATTCCCCTATCAGCACCAAGTAGATATCCTCGCTATTGCAATTCTTCTCAAAAAACATTCCATATACCTTTCGCTAGAACGCATCTCGGTAAGCAATCTCCCATAGCTCGCATATGTGCTAAATATAATGAAATATCTCGAGCTCTGCCTGGCATCGACATATTTCACAACTCATATGATGTATTTAAAAAAAAACTCACCGATCATCTATCGGTGAGTCTTCATTTACATTGAAATAAATATATATGTTTATTCTTTTTTCCTTTTCCCCCCCTTAGTGTTTACATGTATTTGTTGGTGAATGTTATGTACACTAGTTATTGATATACATATCAGTGTGTGTTACTTTTCAATTTTCTTAATATGTTGTGTGTTAATGTTAAATATGTATATTGTAAGTGTGCTTATAAAATAAATAAATAAATAAATAAAAAGTATTCCACCCTTAGCAATAGAAATTTTGCTTGATATTTAGAGACTCTGTTGAAATATTAAACATTCATTAAAAAAATAAGGTAAATAATATCACTCACGAAGGTATCGCGAAACAAAAAAACTACACAGAGCTTTATTTTTAGGTGAGTCAAAAGACAATATAATATGATCGTGGGCACTATCTAATAAATTAAACGGTAATTAATTAAGCGGAAGTCACCTTTATTTTTAAGTTAGATACCTCTACTCAGTATAGTTCGTCACTCGTCAGTTCTATAGCAGGTGTTTATACGAGCGTCACGCTCCGCCGCGTCGACCGGTATCTTTTGATGACAAACCACAAAACCATTCGCTTTGCCTTACACTGTTTTTTCACAGAATAACTGTAATTTTAAAGCATTTATGATAAATTACTACGTTATGTTAATGGCATAGTTGCAATAATTTTGTAATGGCAAATTGTAGCCAACTACTTAGAGATAAACGAATCGGTTAAGTGCGAGCTGGACTCGCACACGTAGGGTTCCATGTCACCAATATCTGCCAGTAGAACGAACAGTATATCTACTAACAATAATAAATAATAATATTGAAGTATAAAAATAATAATATTTTAATTTTTTTGGAATAATAAAATATCTCTACTCTCTGGTGTTAAATAATAAATATCCAAAAAAAATTTTTTTTGGTAATGCATACATTATATGAAATAAGGGAAAAAGTTTTAAGAAGATGAATTCTGTCTCTCAATAATTTTTTGCATCAGCGAGTTTATTATTAAAATGCAATTTTAATTCAATTCTTGCCAACTTTACAATCTTCTGTATAACCAGAATACGTAAAAGCGCGGCTGCTCCAGCGTGACAGACAGACAGACAGATAGACAGCGTGACAGCGCACCCCATGCAATAAGAGTTGCATGTCAAAAAAATATAGTGGCCTCATGCTCTTACATATACATAGGTATATGTATAGAGACGTTTCCTGAAAACGTTCATTATTAGAGGAAGACCTCCAATTTTAATGTATTTTTTTCGATTTAATTATATAAATTAAAAATACACGTTAAATTAAAATTAAACATATTTATAAAATCCCATTTATTTTTATAAATATTAATAACTATTTTGAAGATTTTTGCATTTTATTAAAATATTTTTACTTTAATTACTTAGTTTTGAAACGAAAAGGTCAATTAACTCTGATTTTAACTATCGAGTTATATTAAGTGGACATAATTTTTTACTGCAGTTCGTATATCAACGTTTTGTAAACGTTATTTACTTCATAGCAAGTGAAGCGTGAAATGAGAGAGATTTATTATTGTATGACGCTGAGCGCTGTAGCGGTAGGCTAGGTGTGTTGTAATCGTCCTAGATCTAGGTTCAGAATTTTATCACTAAGAGGTTTCTACGTCGTATAATATTAACTTTAGCATTTAAATTTTAAGTATTAATATTTTAAATAATATTAAACACACTTCACGTGAATGGCGATAGATTCGGATAACCACACTATGAGATATATTTTATATGTTACTATCTAGTGCAAATCAAACCACTCAATCTGACTCACAAAGTAGACTTTGCTATAAAATAAATCTTCTTTATTCGAGACTATAACATAAGAATGAGAAATAATAATTATATTTTCCCATATAACAACAATTTACGATTTCGTTCAAGACATTAATATTTGTCTCGTGAGAGAATTTATTATTCTACTAACTTTATAAAAGACAAAAATATGCTAATTTATACTAATACCTACATCCATATAAATGCTTGTAACAGCGGTATATTTTGCACTGTTCATTCGATTTAACATTTTTGTTCCCGAGGTTTTGATGCTTTACACTTTACAGCAAACTACTCGTAAGTCCAGCCTCGAGAGTTCAAGTCTACAGAGACCTATTTAAATTTATTTTAATTATATTATTAGAAATAATTAATTAATGAAGAAATTTATTTTAATTAATAAATTAAATTATTGAAAACTTTTCAAATACCGCTGTTATGAATACACATACGTAAATATAATAATTATAAGGTACAAAATTAGACTAGTATAACCTTTTTCACTCATTTAGACTACTGTTTGCTTTCATACCCCACGTGCTACTAAAGATGGAATTGGTTAAGCCTCAATCTCATGGAACCACTTTCCTGGATTAAAGCCATCTCTGTCACTCTCCCTCGAATCCTCTATCCGCCAGTGTCTTGCTAAAAGTCAGCTCAAGTGCAGAAATGATGGGCAAGAATAAATAAGAGATTTTGTTTTTTGGACTCCCCGTATATAAAATTCAAATATTTTATATAGCTGACCCTTTATTTTGAAATTGCAGATAGATTCTTCAATTTTATTCACAAGCTAGCGAGTCACTCTCGCTTCACTCGGGTTCGTCCCTAGAGACGTTTTGACGGTTAGTATAGATTTCTCAGAGATGAGATATTTTCCCGTAGGAAAAAGTGTTCTATACATATATTGACCCGGATAACCAACTATCATCATACAAAGTTTCATCAAAATCCCTCCAAATCCAAATCAAATGCTTTTTCCGTGATGCGGTCACAGACAAACAGACAAAATATCTAAAAAGTATATTTTACTGATTCGATCTCTGTATCGATAATAATGTTTATTTCAATAAGATTTTCAAAAAATATGTACAGATTCGACTCAGTTAGAATTTTATTATATGTATAGATATAGACAAATATAAATATAATATATGTAATTTTGGTACAGGTATAACAGTGGGTCTGACGGTGATCCCGCAAGCGATCGCGTACGCGGGCGTGGCGGGACTGCCGCCGCAGTACGGCCTCTACTCCTCCTTCATGGCGTGCTTCGTGTACACAGTGTTCGGGTCAGTGAAGGACTCAGCGATAGGCCCGACCGCCATCGCTGCCATACTCACGAGGGAAAACCTGCACGGTCTAGGACCTGAGTTTGCAGTCCTGTTGGCTTTTCTCTCTGGATGCGTCGAACTTGTCATGGGGATTTTACAATTAGGTAAGAAATGTCAAATGATTAAATTAACTTTAAATATTTTGTAATTGGACTTGTATTAGATTATTATAAACGTGATATGTGTTTGCTTGTATGTGTATGTATGTGTGTTCGTTTCTCCTTCCCGCTGAAGCGACCAAGCGATGCAACGGTAACTTGTTAGTAAGTTTTATTTAAAAAGTGAAAAAAAGTTATATTATTTAGCCTCATTTTTGATTTTTTACAGTTTTACTATAATTCTGAAATAATTTAATTAATCACGTATCATTATGTTTTAACATCTTTACATAAACTCATGTAGAATCCAACAATTTAGCGTTTTTTTCATACAAATACCTAATAAAAATAGATAAATTATAAAATATACACATTTTATACACATTATAAATAATGAAGTAGTTCCGTGATGAAAAGATTTTAATTTGTCACAGTATTTTTTATATTATTGCAAACATCCTGATGTTAGTATCTGATAAAATGTATGTAAATTAAAAAAACCAGCCAAGCGCGTCCGACGAGCAACGAACACTACAGGCAGCGATGCGATGTCCTTAAACAAATATTTCGATAATTCTAAAAAATGAGGTTTTAAAATCTACATTGCGTCTTGCTCTGGAATAAATGTTGCTTCATTACTATCGAGCGATATAATTGGCTCACTATTACAAGGTTCTATGTTACAATTTTAGTACTTATTTAGTTATGAATGCTACAAGGTTCTATGTGTCATTAGCTACAGTTTTGCAAAAACAAACCACTAGATAGCGGCACTTTAACTACAAAATATTCAATTTTACATAGTTCTATGTTGTTTTTTTACGATAACCGATAGGAAAATAACTAAGTTCTATGTAAAAATTACTAAACTTCATTAAAATTTACATAGAACCTTGTAATAGTGAGCCAACGATTATTATGTACGTATTACTAGCATAGACTACTCTTACTAGATGTCAAGTTCCATCAGAGACATCGTCCGTCTTTAAAAACCGTTTCGCGCCGATAATCTCCACCCGCTATTAATTACAATAATTGATAGTACAATAGATAATACCTTCTCTAGCTCTCTATTAATATTAGATAATTACCTTTTAAGACTACAAAATTATTTATAAGCTTTCCACCCTTATGGATAGGTTTTTCTTGAAATGGTGTGAGATCATCTTTAGTCCCAACCCATTAAAAATATCATTAAATTCGGTTCAAAATTAGCAAAGACATAGTGTAACTAACATACAATAATTATAAGTATAGTAGAATACCCGCATTTTGAAGTCGGTCAAGAAAAACTATATGTCATCGATAGGTTTCGAGTTACAAACGCTCAAACTGACAAGCATAGAGACGTTGTATTGTACAATATGCAAGAAAGAATAATATTTATAAAATATAAACTAAAAATAAATACCTTTACTGTGTCGAATGCATTAGAAACCTCTCATAAATACTATGTACATATATGTAGAGATAAAAATATAAAAGCAATGCGTTGAATGTATCGCTTCTTGGTACGAAATGTATCAAAATAAGCGTTTGTGAACAAACACGTTGTTTGGACAATAGCGGTGGTCACAGCACTTCTGTGTTGTGTTGTAAATCCCTCGAGCCTCCCTCATTCAAAGATATTGGGAGTCTTTTATCTACATATATTTGTTCTTAGCACCATAATATTTTACACTATACCTCTTCTACTCCATTAGATAAAGAAATGTATGACGTATATACTCATTACATCCCATTTTAAATAATAAAACAAAGTAAATGCATGATTATTCTTTAAAGGCTGATGGTAAATCTAAGGAATGTAGTTGATCTTGCTTCAAAGAAACGTTTCTTACGTAGGTACAAGGTGAAATCAGCAAATATATACTTAATATTGTATCGCTACAGTTTACACAAGTCTAGTATGTATATATTTATCAAATTCTATTTTGAAAAAACCCGCTAGAGATCATGATTATGTCATAGTAAGGGATTTTTTAAATAGTTTTATACGCATTCCAAGTTGTCTCGCGAGATCTTTCTCTCTTATTAGGAGATAATCATGAACGAATTAACCACTTCGTTCATGAAGATAATATACTTATATTTCATATTAACGAGTTTTGACTACTGAGTATACATCAATCAATTTATTAAATATTGTATTATATGTATGCAGGCCTTAATAACATCTCACTGCTGGGCGCGGGCCTCCCTTCGATACGAGGGGCATTAGACCGTAGTCAACCCCGCTAGCCAAGTGACTGCACATTTCTTTCGAAAACTTGCTAGGTTCTCTCAAACATGAAAGTTTTCTCACGATGTTTTCCTACATCGTATGACAAGTCGTAATCAGGTTGGAAAATGATTCGCACATGGACATATCAGACATGCAAGACCCTGGATTTGAATCCGCTTCACTCAGTTTCCAAAGTGACAGCATTACTATTGGGCTACCACTGTCTCTATATCATATAATTATAATTAATAAATAAAGCATATTTTTCGAAGAATAAGAAGAAGAAAAGTTGTAACTCCCGACCCATAAAAATAATTTTATTAAAACGTAAATTTAAATCATAGTCTATCTCTACGACAAATCTTTAAATCGAATTGGTCGAAAATAGTAACAAACAGACATATTCGCATAGTCTTTATATCAACATAATCACTTCAAACATATATTTTCTCTAACGTTAACAAAAAAATGTTATGCGAGCAGATTCTGAAGATTGCTGGAAATTCCATAGGTTAATATTTCCCCACGCCGCGTCGGCCGCGATAGCGACTCCGATACAAATAACTACTGTATGTTCTGAAGTGATTAAAAAATTCTCGGAACGCGACGCCTTGTCCTCGCGAAGCTGATGCCATGCAAAAGAATATTGTGTCATGCACTTATCAAACGTTACGTAGCACCTACCAATAACTGAGTATAGCTGTGAAAAACGAACAAAATTGTTTTTTTTCAAATCAATTTACTTGTTCTTCCCGCTACTATTAAAAATGCGAAAGTTTTTATTTATGTTTACTGCTCCTGCGCGCTATGACAGCTGGAAAGATTTGAATCCTTTGTACACACATAGTCTATAACCTGGAGTAGGTACTGTTGTAGGTACTGTTATTAATAACATTTGCCAAAGAAGTGGGTCTATATGAAATTGGATACGGTGGCTGTTATGATCTGCATTTCTGAGAGAGAACGTGGAATATTTATTCCCTATAACTTATGGGAATGGAGTTGTATCGAAATATGAAGAAGCGGCGCTTAGTTGGCTTGTACGCTGACCAAATGATTGTACATACATATGTATGTGAAAATAATATATGGCAAATATTTTTTATTTTTTATAATTCTATAATAAAATCAACGATACCATCTGACTATTATATCTGACTTTTATATTTTAGCAGATATGGTCCCTTTTATAATTAAAAAAGTTATTTTTAATTAGTAATATGATTAGCCTATATTATGATTTGTTGATTGTAGCCCACGAGCATGAACGAATTAGAGTCGTTCATGCCCACGAGGCTACTTATAAAGCATTTAAATTATTTGTTCCTCTATCACCAAAAAATTGTACTGTTTCTGTAGATAGTGCGAACGAAAATACTCTCTAGGCACGCTTGTGAGAAAATAAAAGAAAATATTATTTATATTTTTAAACTCTTTGTCTCTGTTCATCCAAACCAGCCCTGTATTTATATTCTTGATAAATATCAACCGGGTTGTAAATTAATATAAATAACTTTTAAAAATACTTATCATTATATAAAATGTCATTTCATATAAAGTTTTTGTTTTTGACGACACGTTTGGCTACTTGCTGTGCCAGCGGTCGCGGGTTCGACTCAAGCTGGGGGCATTCATTTGGTTGATGAGCACGAATGTTTGTACTCTTCTGTATGGGTGATTACATTTATAATATGTATGTATTTAAAGTTATAAGCCTTACAAGCCTCATAACTTATAATGGAACTGGATAGCGCTGTGTTTATGTCCCAACATATTTATTCATTTTCAACGAATTGGTTTACAATTAACAATAACCAGAGTGTATTTCTATAATATATCAAAAATGTTAACAAATGGAAACTAAGTGACTCCACTTGGAAGACCTTTGATAGCTAACAACTCAGTAGCACAACAACCTGTTTGTATCTTTATAATAATGCGGTAAACCATCTTCGGTCTCCGTTATTACATAACGACAGGTTACAAAACATGTCAGAGGCCTTCAGAACTGACAGATTTTAAATTATGGCTATTTTATATTTATTTTACATTTATTTCGCAAAATTATAATATACATATTTTTATCTAAGCCATTCAAGTATTGCAATAAAATTTTAATGTAAGCTTCGTTCATACCGTCAAAGCTCGATAGCTTGATAAAGTTCGAGATTTATTAATATGCGCTCCAACATGTGTGGAAAAAGGCAAATAGTTTCTAATTAATAGATAATCGATATCTACTGTTGAAACCTTGTCTCTAAACCAGGAAGCCATCAGTTGCAGGTCATTATCTAAGCGTATTGTCTCTTACGTTAGCGTTATATCAGCTATCATTAACTCCAGTTAAGGGTTACATTAATTGTGGACGACACGTGCAGTGAAGAGATGAATGGTCAAGTGAAATTTTATGTCAACTTCCGGTCTAGTTATGGTGGAGGGGTTTTGTTAGATAAATATTGAACGTTCAATATCTATCACATCTATCTTTCGATTTGATAGTATATAACAAAACGTATGTACGTTTTAGAAGAGTATATTATGACACACTTAGACGATGAAACACAATTATGGATTTATTATTTTTATAGCTTGAATAAAAATATCTATCTATCATCGTCATCATTTCTGCCGAAAGTCGTTCACTGTAGGATATAGGCCTCTGTCAAAGATTTCCACAACAACCGGTCGTGTGCCCTCTGCATCCGGTGTGATTCGGCGACCATGTATATAGTTCTTATATTTTAACCACATATAAGGTCATACACTACCTACCGTCAACAATTTGTAGAGCTCATATAAATTACTTTTCTTTATTCACTCTTTCGATTTGATGAACTTCAAACATTGCAATTAGTCAAAAAAACTATAATTATTATTAACATACACAGTCAATTTACGTTTTATTCAAATGTAACAAATCATTAAGAGGATGGTAATGTTTTTGAAACTTCGCAGATATCTAAGTATCTTATATAATATACAAGTCGATAATTATATATCATATCGATTTTTCCACGAGAACAGTATAGTATAATAAGAAATACATAATAAATTTTCCATAATATAATTATTATTTATTATACTACTTGAACATCGAGATAATTGAAATTTATATATCTCAAAAATGTTGTACTCCATTAAAACAAGCTCTTTAGAAAGTTTAACGACGTCAGTTTTTTGCGAAAGCAAATGAATTTAGCATATTAAAATATTAATTACAAATCGAATTAGTTTTTACAATGGACCTTCCTTCAATTCGACTTGTTCCAACCAGCACTTGATTAAGGAAGACTATGCCTTAATCCCATTAATATCTATTTTTTTAATTTCAATCCCGTAATCAATAATCAATTTTGTGTTATATTACGAACAGGTTTTCTAATCGACTTCATCAGCGGACCAGTGTCGGTGGGTTTCACGTCCGCCGCCGCCATCATCATCGCGACCACGCAAGTGAAGGACATCCTGGGCCTCAGCTTCCCTGGTGGAAAATTCTTACAGGTAATACTGATTTAGTTAAAAAGTCGTGAAGCTAGATTGAGTTATTCAGCATACAGTGCTGCAATGTTCCGGTGCATGGATGCTAGAATAAAGAGTCACTGTATCTAGAGATTTTTTCCACAACCTTGCCTAGAATACAAACCACAATACCTACTGAAAATCTAGTAAAAATCGCAGAAAAAAAATCAGTTAAATTAAATTAATACTATATATATACATAAATAAGAAAAAACAAACCAAATAAGTACCTTTTCCTCCTCTATTTATCAACCGATTAGTTTTTAGTAGCTATTGAGCCTATTGAGTGGAATTAATAAAAAATATTGTAAACATTTTTTTTATATATATTGTAGATTGGTAAATTATAGAAAAAATAACTGTTATCAAATTTTATTACACTTATTTTTATATATATATATATATATTGTAGACAAGCGATTCAACCTCGCTTCGCTCGGGGTCATCCCTATATACGTAATTTTTTTGAGCGGAATCCTAATTCTTTTTCTAAAATAAAAGTAACCTAAGTTACTTCTTATAACATCAGCTATCTAGCAGTGAAAATTCCGTCAAAATCGGTCCAGCCGTTTTAGAGATTAGCCGGAACAAACATTTAAGAAGATTGTGTCTTTCTTATATGTACCATATACCTACGTATACTTTTATATGCATTTAGTAAAGTACTGTTATTTTGAAATTACAAACAGACTCTTTAATTTTATTTATCTGTATAGATAGGTAAATTCTATTCGGTATTCATATATGTATATTTCCCTCAAATTTTCAATAATGATTATGGTAGACTTTCGGCCACTGGACGAACACTAAGCAGTAAAAATGTAACATTCTATATAGCTATAAAGTATAATGATAATAAAGTCGTATTGGTGTAGTTTATTAACTTGTAGGCAATACATTTTTTGTCAGATGCAATCATCATTTTTTATGGCACCAGTCAATTTAATACTTTTTGTTGATTTGCACTTTCTATCGGCCTTCATCAAATCATTACCTTTGGAATTTATCCATATACTTAATCTTTTATTACCTCTTTCAATAAATTTGTTATTGTCGAGCCCATTTTATGTACCTGTGCTTGTTTGTGACAGATCCATATGAAAAGGTTTGTAAGTGGTTGTAATAAATAATAAATCATAATTTAAAGAAATAATCTGAAATGTCATATATCAATCACTTTGATGAAACGTTTGGCTCAGTTTATAGTGATCCTACTTGCTATGCCAACAGTCGCGGGTTCTAGTCCCGCTGGGGGCATGCATTTGAGCATACGAGTATATACATCTCGCGGCAAGGATTCTCCGACTAATATATATTCCTTCGTGAACTTGTTTTCATCTTTTTAGTTAGCTTTTATGCATTCGGGTTTTTTATTTTTATAATATATTTATTTATACACGTGGTCTTTGGATATGCTTAAATTAATGAAAGAATCCCAACTTAAATAGACAATAAAATAGGGACATTGATGTAGGTGGAAGCTGCCGTAGCGCGTTGTGTGGCTGCTACTACCTTATCTTCTTTTGAACCTCCTTCTTTTGAAGTAAAACTTCTTTAGAATCGTTGTGAAACTGAGTCTGAAACGAAAATACGACACTTAAAAGAGACAAACAAAAAATATATAGGATAAGGCCGGCGAGAGAATGAGATAGAATACATTGCCATGGTGCCATGGTAACCGTTGTTATTGACTGACAAATATATTATAATATGTATTATATTCTTTCCGTATATGATATTCTATAAATATATGATTGTAATATGCCTTATTTAATGATTGTTTTAATTTAATTGCGATATTTGCCAAAATTTTACTTCAACTACGCGTAAAGGTTACTCGCACCCATTTTTTTTAATTATATCCATTATATATCCATAAAACTTATTATTACTGTTTCCTACAGGTGTCAAGTAAGATATAGTTTGTAATGAGTATTGTGACCCGCAGGTGTGGACCGGTATGTACGAGCATATAGGCGAGACCAGACTGTGGGACACCGTGCTGGGCGTATCTTGTATCGTAGTTTTATTACTACTCAGGGTAAATATAATTTAATAAAATACAAACGTTTTTAGTTGTATTAAGCAATCTAAGTCCGATAAATACATGAATGAGATGGATTGACAGTAATACCTACTTTTTTTACACGTAAAGCATATATTAGGTACTGTTGCTATTTATTAGATACGTTAAAGCGCTGAAAATCCTTCCAGAATATAAAGTTCAGAGAGAAATCTGAATTTGTGACTACACTCATATTCAATGGCGTATAGGTATCCATTGAAACATATAACATATATCTATGCCTTCTGTATGTGTGTGTATTTGCACCCGCTAATCTCTGTATGGATTGAAACGATTTTCATAAGATTCTCACTGGTATAAATGATAATTTTGGCTTATTATCATATAGAATAAAAGATAGATGAACATCATAATCGATTTTTACGGAAGATCCCGCGGAATATTATACAGAATTATTATTTTTTCACGCAAAGTAAAGCATGCTGCTGCAAACCAAGGGCGAGTAACTTGTGAATAAGTAATAATTAACAGCCTATTAAATCGTTTTGTCATACCTAGGTTCCACTCGTGCAAGATCAGATGCGGAGGTATTCTTATTTCTTAATGAAACACGTATTAATTAGCACATTCTGTAAAAGGAATTACATTTATGTCGTTAATATTTGCTTATAATATGTAAGTATAATTATATGAAATATGCAATCAGTTGAGAAATTGTTTCAACATCAGTAAAACACTTGCTACAAAACTTAAACGATTTTAACTTTCTAAGACATTCATTGTTAATTGTAACACCGGTGTGCCAGCGGTCGTTGAGGGATTAAGATATGTTGAATAATTTCAAAAGTGAAGACGACTCAACTAATATCATTTGTTTATTAAAGACATATAAGCTACCCAAAGAAATGCTTGTAGCTGGTATAGCGCAAATCATTGCGCGTGCGCCTCGTGCAGGTTATGTGTAGACGCTATCAACAGTTAAATACAGACATCAAGCGCCCACATCCTGCGCACCCGCCAATTGCCATTGTTCGAAACAGACTCGAAAAACAGCTAAACTTCTGTTAACTTACCTAACTCAGTACTTAGTGAATTAATTATATATCATTTACATCACAATGATAAGTTATTTCTCGCAACAGTAAATACGTCGGGAACTCTAAAAATAATGTTAAGTATGGTTTTGATAAAAGCGTTCACCTATTTGAAAGCTACGATACCGCAGACTAATATACCAACTCGTATGTATGTATATGCGTGTTGAAAATCCCAAAACGAAAGAATAAGTCTTGCTTCTTCTTTCTGGGAAAAAGTTTCTCTTCTTTCTCCTGTTTGCGATGTCCCAAATTTCCATTTTATTAATTTCAGTGACTCTGTGGTCTGTAGATACCTACATATCTGTCCATATAATATGTTTTTACACGAAATCTTAGCGAGTAGTGGGGCGCAATAAATTGTAATTAATTGTAGTTGCCATAGCGACAGCTGGACATTCGTTTAATAAGATGATTTATTCCAAGTTTTATATTGAACTTTGTGTTCTTTTCACAAAGCCCACGGTAGGACTCTTTTTCTCGTACATATATTTGTAGATATGTTTGTTTTGGATATATTGCATTCATTTCACTGGTATATTTTTTGTTACAGAAAGTGAAAGACATAAAAATCGGTTCAAACGACGCATCAGAAGACGGCAAGGTCGAGAAAAGCAGCCGGTTTAAAACCGCAGTGTCTCAAGCGCTGTGGTTCCTCTCCACCACGCGCAACATCACCGTGGTGCTAGTGTGCGCGGCGCTCGCATACTACTTCGACACTCAGAACAAACAACCATTTGTACTGACTGGTAATATCGGTTTATTTAAGTAGTTAGAATGTTGTCATATGTATAGACATAGATAAACTTCAGGTGAACTTGGGTTCGAATCACGGGTTAGACAAAAAGGATTATAAATAGAGAAATTCTCTATACTAGTCAGCAATGGAGAACTTGATGATATAGCACACTGAAGTAATATAAAATGTGATTGCCCTCCATAGCATTGCATTAAGGCTTAATAAAAAATATATTGCATACATATTGTTATCTCGGCTACTTAAAAAAACATACCTTTGTTCAGATATTTGAGATATAGGACAACGATACAAACAGACAGACGGACGATAGATATTGATATTGTTTTAGCGTAACGACCGTGGCGTCTTGCGAGCAAATATATAACTTTTTTGAAAGCACAGATAAAAACTTCTATTACATTTGTAAATACAGATAACAACAAAATGAAATATTGTTCTTTACAAATAGGTAGTATTTCCCATTTAAACAGTAGGTATCACTGTATTATAAAATACTCGCTTTGTATTTCAAGTTGAATGCAAATTGTCTATACGATTCATTGAGCACGGCGCACGACAGGTACTCTAGGTAGCGTCGCGCGTCGCCGCGCCACATTCCAGTTATCTCTGGTTCTTTTTTATTTAAAATCCGCATCCAACATACATCTACCAGCTAATACAAATGACATCATTATCGTATTTCTTTATGAATTGATAATATGTGACATTTTAGCGCGTGTTATGATTTAATTTTCTGTTCTGGCGCGATTTAATACAATCACTTAACTGAACTTATATTTTTTATACAATATCCAAGTTAATCAGCCGGTATGTTAGTACCATACTGGTACGGTACATTATACCGGAAATAGAAAAACGAAATATTGGCGTAGACATTAATAAAGCCGGTATTCATTTTGTTTTAATAAGAATGATTGTGTGACAATCAACATCTAGGTACAAATCGCGACACAACATTCACTATCACGACCCAAAAAACCGTGTGACTATAGTATTTTTTATATTGTTGCTAGTATATCACGTCTTTAGATCAAATAAGAACAACACGAACTTGACGACATGGTATTTATTCAATTAGGTTTACTAAATATTAAAATATATCACCTTTCAGGCGAAGTGAAGGCTGGACTTCCACAAATTGCCCCGCCGCCCTTCTCAGCCACGGTGGGCAACCACACGTACACCTTCACGGAGATGGCGTCCACTCTTGGCTCGGCGATCTTCGTAGTGCCCCTACTGTCGATTTTAGAAAATATTGCACTAGCAAAGGTCTTCTGTGAGTAATAGTCATCATTCATATAACTTATTCGTGATTAAAAAATTAGCCTATAAACAAACTTATTATATTGCTCGCTATGCTTTGGGCATCAATGTAGACACATTTGTGTGATTAACGCTAATTTCCTAAATTATTCTATAATAATTAAATAAATTTATCCTAAATATTTTTTTACAAATACAAGACATGAAGACTCCTCAATCAAACCAACATTCTAGATTTTGTTAAAGAATACTCGTAAAATTTTAGAAATCTGACGTTTGACTATACCTAACTGACTTAACTTCCACATTAGAAGACAGCCTTTAACAAGAAAAGTTAAATTACATACCTGTTTAAGACAGTGGTGAAATTTTCATGTTCGAATTAATTTTCATGTGCTCTATCCTGCTTAAACCACATCCAAAACTGGCATATCGAAGAGAAAGTAATTAGTTTTCGCAAGACACGTAAAGGCCACGAATCTGTACTTGCCCAGCGTGGTGGACTATGGTGCAATCCCTTTCGTATCGGGGAAAAGCCCGTGTCTCGTATTTGGAAGTTAAAAAATGCCGAATATATTACTTATATTTTGAGTATGTTCGCCCGCAGCGGAGGGCGCGCACGTGGACGCGACGCAGGAGATGGTGGCGCTGGGCGTGTGCAACATCGCGTCGTCGCTGGTGGACTCCATGCCGGTGTCGGGCGCGCTGTCGCGCGGTGCCGTCAACCACGCGTCCGGCGTCGCGTCGCCCGCCGGCGGCCTCTACACCGGCGCGCTCGTCTTGTTAGCCTTGCAGGTGACCGGTGAAGTCTTGCTGATTATTTAAGACGGATAATATCAGCTATATGCCATTGTGTCTCCTTATTAGCAATAACAATTTGACATTATCGGTCTACTGCTATGTACATAATACCTACGTATATACGTAAGTTTGTATATATTTGTTTGTTACTCTTTTACACAGTTAAATTTGAAGTAACATATAGGCTACTGTAAGGCACCTAAGGTCGCTCTAATAAGTACAAATTCAGATAGACAGGTAATTAGAAACCCCCGTTATAGAGACAGTTAAGTCATTGCTGGAGGTAGACCTCTAATCTATTAGACTTTAGAGGCTTCAATTCTCATTTTGCATGATTATATATACCGAGATGTCTTGGGCGACATCGACCGTCTATTCTAACAGCCATGTGCCTGTCTGTTTCCTCATTTAATATGTAAAAGCAATATTATGTTATATTCAATGAAAACAGACTTAACTTTGACCTCTATTTTATACCCCAACTCGTAAGAAAAAAGACAATACATCTCTCTTTATATTCATGAAGTATGATGATGCCGGTACGACCGGACAGAATTTTAATATATTATATAAACCATTTCTTATTTGACATTGCAGTATTTCACTCCATACTTCTTCTACATTCCCAAAGCGTCGCTGGCGGCGGTGATCATCGCGGCCGTCGTGTTCATGATGGAGCTGCATGTGTTCAAGCCGATATGGCGGACGAAGAGTAAGTTATATGGCCTATAGCCTACATGGTCACTCTTGACATCTTTATGATGTTAACCGGATTTTGACGATATTCGCAAACTTTTAAATGTTTCTAATATTTCGGCACTGTTCTAAACGTCACCCCTGGACCATGGCGACGAAATAAGCGATTATGTTATGGTATCTTCATTATTTTTTGACACAAAGTATCCTTCCAATATGATAAATATTATTAAAGGATTCTTGTTCTGAGCAGTTTATGTTTATTTAAGTGAGTGTATTTGTCGCAGAGGTGGACATAATCCCAGGACTGGTGACGTTCGGCGCGTGCCTGCTGACGCGGCTGGAGCTCGGCATCGTGCTGGGCATCGCCGTCAACCTGCTGTTCCTGCTGTACGCGTCCGCGCGCCCCGCCGTGCGCGTCACCACCGCCGTGGTACGTATCACCACACAAATACCCACCATACACGTTGTTTAAATCCAATTAAAATATATTTCATATCGTGTTGGTATTTCTAGAAATTGATTATTTTATTATAGTAAAGCAACAGAATTGAAGCTTGAAATTGGTTAGATTTATGTAGGTAGTTTCTCGCGGGAATAGAACAAAACTAAACAATTAATTTTAATTGAAGCCTCAATTTCCCCTATATTTTTAGTACTCGGCTCAGGGGCGAAACACCTCCAACTTTCCAAACTCCGAGCTTTTTTACTGAGAATTTACTGACAGAAAAACTGAATTACTATACTTGGCCCGACACGTTCCTCCAATTTCTGTGGGGAACATTTTTTGATCATATATGTATATGTACCTACTGTGTGTATAATGTCGTCTATATGTTTATTGTGTACGCAGTCGGAGGGCGGCGTGCGCTACGCGCTAGCGAGCGTGGACCGCGCGCTGGCGTTCCCCGCGGCCGAGTTCGTGCGGCGCGCGCTGCGCAAGGCGGCCGGCGACGCGCCGCTCGTGCTCGACGCGCACCACGTGCAGGCTGCCGACTTCACCGCCGCCAAGGTACACCACCATACACCACACATCTATCTCATAGTAAATGAAATTCTAAACCATATAATAGAACCGCCTTGTAGGTAAAATAATACATTATTAAAATCTATTCACGATCAACGAGGATATGGCGAACATTTAATTTAAAAATAATTACCTTCACTTTAGATAAAAGTGATTACTGTTATATATTTTCTGCGTTGGTATTCGGCTAATCAATAATTATGGTACCTACTTATTTTAAATTTAAAAAGTATAGGTACCTTTTATATACGATTTACATTTGGCGATAAAAGACTATAATTGGTCATATACCTGTATCTAAATATTGTGTTCGGACATGGAATCTACTTACGCTATTCTTATATCGAGTAACAGTTATTACCAATTTTACCCTACAAGCATACTCTCTTATTACAACAAAAATAGTAACCTAAATGATTATAAATGTTCCAGGGTATAAAGTCCCTGATCGAGGACTTCCACGCGCGCGGGCAGACGATCATCTTCTACAACGTGAAGCCGTCCATCGCGGAGGTGTTCCGCGGGGTGAAGCCGCGCGAGTTCGTGCACTGCTCGTGCCGCGCCGAGCTCGAGCGCCTGCTGCTGGACGCGCAGCGCCGGGCGCGCGCGCGCTCCGCCTGGTCAGTGAGACCAACAAACTGTAACTTACCGAGGACTCCATTCCCCAAATATGTAGATTCTATCTCGTTCTCAGTGAAACTAATGAACCTTTGTTATTGAACAGCGCTTGGCCAATATGCATGGTATACGTGTTAGGTCGTTCGTTCATTAACGACATATTTTCTCGGCCTCGTTAAATGGAGACTATTCTGTTTTATCTTATCTTTTATGAAATGTTCTTCGTCTGTTTGTCTTCGTGTGTCGAATGTGTTTAGAACGTAACCGATGATGATGATGATGATGAACATAAGCGATGAAGCTTTCTTTACAAATCATTACAACAGTTTAGCCCATTAACAATTATTATTATCTAATCAACCATTTTTATTTCAGAGAGCGCGCTCGAATACGATGGAAAACAAGGGATCTCCGATGTAGCGCAATGTATAATATTAGTAATGAGTACTCGTAGTCATTTTGTATCGGCCGACATCGTTCCTGACCACGTCACGTGTCCCGATGCCGATGGTACATTTACGAAATTTGGTGTCACAAAAGTAATTATATCTGCGACGGTGTTATTGTCATTTTGAAATATAGTTATAAAACAAAAATATTTATTTTTATATAAGAAAAGTTTGCGAACATTTCTAGGTATGTGATTTTAAAACAACCGTCGGGAAAATATAATACGTACTAATAATAAGTATTAATAATATTAATACATGAATTCAATGTCGGCTTTAAATAAAATAATAATGTCTATGATAGAGTATTTACTTTTGATATCTTCTCCCGACATCGTCTAATGTAAATATTATTTTAGTTATAGGTACTTTCTTATATTTATGTAATTTATAAACTAGTTAGTGTGGAGAGTGACCGTGGGTGAGTTTTTAACAGTATTAGACTTTGATTTGTTCCATGAATAAATGTTGAGGAGTGTTTGTTAGCATTTTTATTTTACTTAATTGTCTCTGCCTAATAAAGCAATGGGGCTGATGTATAATTTATACTAAGATTAATTTATCTGACCGATTTTGTACACGACGATAATAAACAGATATTCCAGATTCCAGACACAACTTGCAAACGTGAAGGAGTAGAGTTCTACTCCTTTTACTCTCTAGGTTTAACAAAAATTTGACACTCGAGTTAAAATGCAGAAGTGACGACTTTACCTGTATGGTACGAAGTGTACACGCCTTGTGCCAACAACAATGGAATTTCCAATAGAAACACTATACCAATACTAGGTCCGACTAACGGGACTCGAACCCACGACCTCCAATTAAATAGATAGCTGTACAATGTACATACTAGGCACTATACTAACGAGGCCAGTGTTGATCACTACTTTATATCAATATTATTTATCAATATTATGGTATGGTATTTTATCAATATTATGGTGCCTGGTGGTAGGCGCCCACGAGTGATGATCTTTAATATGTATATTTGACAGATGAATATTTCATATGGTGTATATTTCATAATAATATTATTAGAGAGAAACTTTCAGTTGACACTTGCCAGTGTACACCAAAGCTTTATTTGTTATCAATGTCAGTTGAACAGCTGTGTAATACAAACTTCTGTACGATTAATTGAACTCATCACAGTAAGGAGAAACCTGTGATACACATATCATCTCAGTGCTTTTGTCCAAATAACCTATTTACCAAAAGAGGTTTCAGTACAGAATTAATGTCTATTGTTTAAATCAAAATACACATTTAACTTTAAAAAAATGCATTTTACCTTTATATGTAGGTATATATTATATAAATCTTAGTTTGACATAAAGCTATTTTTTATAAATAGAGGAAAGAAACTATACTGCAAAGTACAAGTATTAGTAGTTTGAACAAATAAGCACTGAGGTGACGATATGTCAAATGAGACGACCCTACAAAGGAGTATTGAATGAAAGAAGTAAATAAAACATGATATATTGGAGATAATCAAATATTTATTTTACAATCGTCACACAGTCAGATCTGCGCACAGCCTCCACTCCATGCTCCGGACTCCGGACCACTTCAAACTTCAATTTGTATGAGAGTTATATTATAATTATAATAGGGACATATTCCGGACATATTCAACTTGACAAATTCGTTGACATGCCCAGAGCAATAAACATCGTTACTGGTGTATTGAATAACACGCAGTCAATGCAATAATGACCTAACTCAAAATTTAAAATAATTATCTACAGTGTTTAATGTAAAAATGGCATTCATTAATTTCGCTGCACCTAATTTCATGAAAACATTCTAAATAGATCCACAAAACTTTCCAATCAGAGAACCCATTTTCGTAACAAAGATAGTATAAACGAGTATTTTATAAAATCATGTTCAGTTTTCTATATAACTTATTTGGAAGTTAGGTCACTTTCGCGTTGCCTGGCCCATATACAAATATTAATAAAAAGTCATTATTTCATAAATACAACCTAATAATCCGATGAAATTATCCAAAGAGGTTTTACATATAAATGTTTTACATACACGCCATCTCTCACTCGGTGCAATGGCCAATTAATCTAATTCTATACAAAATTTCCAACTAATAACCTAAAGAGTTACAGAGCTTTATATTGAGCAGGGCATCAGACACCGAAGACACCCGACTTGCATTATCGACCCCAGCATTGACTCATTTGGCATATAGAAAAGACTAATTTAAAAAATTAAATATGGAGGACTAACCAAATTTTTTGTTATCGATACAACCATTTACTTTGTTATAACAAGCCCTCAACTAAATATTCTTTCTGTCCATAGTCCATTTTTGTTGAGTAAAAATCAATAGCCGGTCCGATAATGAAGTCAGCACCAAATTTTTCTATTAAAAGTGAGCCGAAAATTACAAATAGACAAGGAAGACAGAGGCTACTCAGTTGCACGTGTGCTATGAGAAAATAAATTCGTTTGGATGGCCACTTTACTTTTTTAAATAAAAATGGCTCTCTTGCTTAACATTTTTTCATATAGGGGGTCCTTAATATAAAGGATATTTTTGAACTTGTTTAAAATTAAATATATCTCATTATAGGTATAAAAAAGTAAATAACTGGACATACAACCCATATACCAAATAATGTGGCATACAACACTCCCCATAGTTGGCAATTGGCATCCCATCGACAATCCTAAATATGACAGTGGATACTCATCGCGTCGTCAATAAACTTCACTTACGAATAATCACAATTAAACTAAATTAATATACGATCAAGAACCTTTAATATATTACACCTAGAATGTGCTGAATATCCCATTTACTTGTTGCTACTTTTTTTTAATAAAGAAAAATACAAAATACTTTTAGCTAGCCCAGAATCGAATCTTCGACCATTTATTATTAGCTCTTCCTATCACAAAAACAATAAATTATAACGTCAAATGGAATAAACACATTCCAGGTGCAAGACACGTGATATACCATTAGAATATTAGTTAGTGTTTAGGCTAGCACTAACTCGAAACCGTGATTTCTACGTAGAGTATTACCGGCAGAGACCTAACTTAGTTACTCAGTATACTATCGGCGAGCAGCGCGCTCGCTTTTATCTCCTAAACTTACCTTACGTTATAATATTATAGACTACGTCATAAAGAGTAAATTTTACCACCAACTCACAATATAAATGCAGTCACCACTCGTTTTCCTTTAACAGAACCAACTGTTCCTAACGCGTTCCTTATAGACTTTACCTAAAGCCCAATCGGAGCGTCGATCATCAACAACAAAGCGACCGTCGGTCTGTCTGTGTGTTAAAGCAAAACAAGCGCCCTCCCTCGCTGTACAACCGTCGCTACACCTAAACTATATCACACTCACAAGTGTTCCTTTCAATAAAAGCTAAACAAAGTCTATATACGATTATCTAAAACGTGTATAATTCATAATATTTTAACCTTCGCGGAACAAAATCGTATGGACAAAGCGACGTAGTTGAGCCTCTATTATCTTCTAAACTTGGCAAAAATATTATAGTGACACTTTGTGATTATTTTTTTTAAAACTATGAGATCTAAGGCCACGTATGCGCTATTGATAACTAGGAAAATAACTTTCCCATATATTTAAATTAGAATACATTTGATAGTGCAATTTTGGCCTAATAGCTTATTAAGACTCAAAATAGGAAAAATACATCACGAACATTTGTCCATACTACTTTGGTCTCCGAAAGGCGATTACACTAACAAAAAGAATCTCATGTCGAAGTGTTTTGTGCGGCGAGTCCGCGTATAACAAACGTAAAGAACTTCTGAAACCATTTAAAGCGGCGACCGACAGAGGTCGATTAACACTAATAATAAATCTTGAGCCGCGAGGGAGTGCTATCGAAGACGTGTAAACCCCATACTAACCCCAAAAACCCAAATGTTTTAAAGTCTTTCAACAACCTTTTCAACCATGAACACAAAAAAAACATGATTGTTTTTAATAAATTCCTTTATATATCATCGAACAATATCCCAGTCCCGAGTGTTCGATAGCACGCGCCCCGCACATAAACAGCTAAGAGTAAACAAGACAGTCGATATATGGCAGTTACCGTGACCGAGAACCGAACCCCACACTACGCCATTCCAGCACTCTCACCACTCAGCCTTAACACTACATTTAATATTAAGGGATACGAGGGCCGGATATTTGGTTGACTATAATTGTAATTAGTCTAGAAAAATAGTTTTTTTTTCACTTTTTCTTTTTTTTTCCTAATTCTATAATTGTTTATGACTCGTGAAATTAACGGCCCTCGAGCTACATTTAAAATGGAAAAATACTTTGATGTAAATCTTAATCGTAATACAATCGGCACCATTCGAATATTTACTTATTCTTGGTTGCGTTACCTATATTAAAACATATTCGTTTAATCAAGGTTAGTATGGTTGGATGGTTACGTGATTGTTGGATGTCGCTATTGTATGGTTGCTTGTGTTGATGTGTGGTTGTTGGCAATTTGGTTGCTGATTGCGGCGGGTTTTGGTGCTCAGTACTTCAGCAGGTCGTCGTCGTCTAGATCCGTAAGAGCGAGTTTACTGTCTATCACTGGAAAAAAAGGATATAAATGTAATTTTTATGGAAAATTGTATATATTTATATTATTTTAATATATTGAGTTCGATTTTACAAATTTCTCCGTTTCATGTTAACAGAAAAAATGAACACAATGGCAGTCAACAATTACATAATAATAAATTATATTATAAAGCTGGTATATTGGGTGGTGGTTCAGTGAGTACCAACAAAAACATTCGTCAAAAACATTGTACCTTGCGGAACTCGAATCCGCCATATCTGTAAAAATTAAGATATAATCAAAATTTCTAGGAATAAAATCTTTCAAAGGAGTCTCGCAATGGTCCTGACGCTTTATTAACCTGCACGTACAATAATTGTATAAATAGCCACCTAAGCTTTAATTGCCCCATATGGTGATGCAATACGAATCCCATAGCATGGGTGATGACATAACACAGTAAAACAACCAAAGCAAAGCGTATGAGTATGAGTGCTCACTTTGGTCCGGGATAGTAGTATGGCGGGGGCCGCTCGTACTCCGTAGGCCCGTGGTAGCGAGGGGGTCCTTCCTCCCAGTGCCTGCAACCGCCACCAACAGGCACACCGTGCTCAATTATTATACAATTCAAGTAATTTAAAATCAAGTAATAGTTTTCACTTATTAAGAGGCCTATTACATTACGACCGTGATTTTTGAATTAAATGTCCATCTTTGGCGTTCTTATTCAGAGAAACTGAAACTCTTCGCTAGTTTTGACTTGTTGTATGGTGGAGAATAATTATTAATAGACTTCACAGCGGTCTCGCTATTCGTAAATTTTTATTATTAATTAAAATAAAGCCAAAATTCCGAAACAAGTTTTAATAAAATGCGCGACGGCACTTTTTCAAGTTCATGGATTGAAATACTGTACTAAGCACGTTTGCAGTGTAATAATAATAATATGTCGTATATAGTGGTCGAGTTTATAGCGGCCTCGGAATTTGAAAATATTTATTGGATTTCAATAAAAAAAATCCTTTTCAAAATCTTAAAAACTATTATAACGTTTAGAATTAGCTGTTAATATATCCTTACAACATTAATATTATTTAGTAAATTTATACCTGAATATACGTCACTTCAAAAGAAACTTAATAACATATTTTTTTTAAACAATTTACTATAAAACTTTACAAAAAGTTATTACAACTGGACAAAATGTGACGCGTCGGCCGCTCCAACTCAATCCTGTAAAATTCAGTACATTTTGTGATAGGCCTCTTAACTAACAATTTTCTATACAATTTCAGTCATTTTTTTATTTATTAACGTAGTGTAAAAGTGATTTTAAATTGTAAAGCTTGAATGACCGTGATGTTCTCCTGTTACCTTAATTAATTGGATGGTAAGCAGAAACATAAAAACATACCAGCTCTTAAAGTGAAAAGTATCTATAGTAAAATGATCACAGATATATGTAAACTATATATTAAGCAGTGCGAAAATTGCAATTATTTTGACATTTTCAAGATAGTGTGATATCCAAATGTAGAGAAAATTGTGAAAATGTTAAAAATAGTCAGAGCCAAAAAACTACTACAAATTAAAATTACATCTTTGGATGTATTAATAATATAAATTTAACTGGCTGGTATCCAAGAATAACAATAATATTTTAACTGCACCAACCTATATAGACACAAAATAATTAAATTCTAAAAGGCAATGTTGGCTTATAACTTTAAAAAATTACCCATAAAAGCAAACAGATAAACGGACAAAAACTTATTATGAGATATTCATTCAGTAATATGAAAACATTGAAGAATAGGAGAAGCAAATAGAGACTACAACATTAAATATAACCGAGACAAAAGAGTGTATGTATGTATGTTGGGTATAGTCTTACTTTGGCGCCATATCATTATATCTGCGCGCGTGGTGTGCGTCGACAGGCGGCGCCACGTGCGACGCGCCGGCGCCCTCCGCCTCGCGCCGCCGCGCGCCGCGCTTCTCCGCGGAGTAGGCGCTGCGACACACACTCGCGTTACTCTCCACTCCACTCCACACACTCCACTCCACTCTCAACGTTACAACCGGAACCGACGGTACTCAACCCACATAGTGTTTGTTATTACTAATATACTTTTACTTATCATCAACAACTAATACTGATATACTCATTTTAATTTAAATCAAAAATATTTTGAACTCAATTTCAATATATTCACTATTAATTTTTAAATTACTAGTAAACTTCTTTTGTGAGTAAATAACAAATAATAAAATTATTTACCGATAGGTTCTTTCCACGACGTCGGCTCGGATTGTGAACTTTAAGGAAAAAAAATTTTCAAACAGAATTCAGATGAAATTATAATTAATTAATAATTATATATCGAAAATTGTAAACTAATTTGATATCTCAAGTAACTTGTAAAACATTAAAAGCTAGAGATCATCTGCATACTGCTTGCAACAGCGAGGGAGACACTGACAGAACACCATGCACTAAATACTAAGAGAATTAGAAAAACGTCAAGCTGCCTCACGCCTAGGAGGTCGCGGCCGGCGCTAAGGAGTTAGAAAGAAAAGATCACAAATTGGAGCCAACTTAAAGAGATTAAACAATATTAAGTTTGGTGTTAAGTGTAGGCCCCAACGTGTAGGAAGAAGATTGAAGGTTCATGCAACCACGACTACTCGACACACGTACCACGTTTATTGTTATACCGTGTATTTTAAATTACATAAATTATAAATTGTAGTAATTAAATGTGGCAAATGAATTAAAGTCAAGAAGATAATCTATGAAAAACAAAGCACCATCATAATTTAAACATTAAATGGCACAATTAAAAAAAAACAATCGATGTCTTCTTTATTAATGATATTAATTTCCACATTTAAAATTTGTATTTAAATTATTATTTTAACGGTCATTTTATTGTTATTCATCAAAAGCTTGAAGTAATCTAATACCTGAGAACAATAAACGTCGCAAATATATGTACATATGTATGTATGTATAAACTAAACTATCTACGAGAGGTAGCTACAGGATCAGAAATGAAGTGATATGTTAGTTACCACATGACTAGATGTCCCTCGCGCTCCGCCTTCATTCACTCACAATATCCCATTTACAATACATTACAAAAATAAAATTTAATTAAACCATAGAGTTTTGATGCATAAAATACTTAATTGTTTAAATTCCACACTAAATTATGTTTACAGATCAGCTATGAGTATTAATTCTACTATAGAACTGACTCTACACGTTATACCAAAAATATTCTCATATATCAAGAGCCAATTTTTCCATATTTTTATATTTACTGGTGATAATGTTCAATAAATAATAACTAAAGCTCAGGGTAAGTTAATATAACGTGTATAGCAAGTGTTATAACGATATTGACACTATATAAGTCGAATTCCTTTGAATCTCTGTGTTAAACCTAGCTCAATTCACTGCAGTGCACCTACCTATGACTACGACCTGTCACCTCGACTAGGATACGGATATGGCTACAATTATTATTACAACTAGGTATATCTAATAACTAAGGACTAGATTTGATGAAATCCTATTTCTATCCACAAATAAACAGGGCTCGGAACCGGTTTAAAAAAACGGTTTATTTCGGTATGGTAATGGTTAATTCATCGCTCGTTCATTTACCGGTTAATGAAAACGATCGGTTTAGTAAACCGAAATAATAATCGTTAACGATTATTCTTAGAGACAGGTTGGATTTCGTTTTTGATACCGGTATAAACCGGTTAATTCATTCATGAGTAAGAATGTACACGCATCCTTCTACTAAGCAATTCACAATTAGCACAAAAACTCATTTTAACCGGTTAATTTCTTAAGATCATGGAACCTAAATTCGTCAAAAACCGTTCTCCGGGATTTCACCGGTTAAAGAATGTAACCAAAACCTAAAACCGAAAAGCCTTTAGGTTTGGGGTCAATGACCAAAACCGGTTTAAAAATTGAACGGGTTTCCGAGCCATGCAGATAAAATAGAAAATGTTTTATTAGAATTTCTATTATCATGAGTGATATGAATGAATGATACAATTTTAAATTTCATGTTCAATAAACCATAATTTCGTTAATAGATCTTTAACATCAAAAGGTACACAAACACACTTTACTACTTATGTATTGATATGAGTTGTATCATGTATACTAGTCCTGTAAATGTACACATATAAGAGTACATGAAAGTAGTACAACAATCACAATTAGCTTAATATAGAATTACAAGATAAATGTATATCACTGTGCGAATGCAATATCCTTATTCTAACATCAAAACCTTAAAAAATACAATTTAACCAGGATAGAGTATACTTGGTGATCTATGGCTTGACCTTAACTAGATTAGTCAAGACGAAAGCACGTTCGCAGCTTTGAGACCCCGCTGAAAGCTACGTGTAAATACATACAAATGTATGGAAAACCTGTCCAAAATTCGTACGTTTACCAAATAGGAATGTCCCATAGAGATATGCTTACGATTTAATACTATACAGATCAAATCTTGTACAAGCGTTACGTTACATTATACAGACGTTACAAACCTTTTATCAAATTTAAATATTCAACACGACCTAAACCACTACAAGTATAATTATGTCGAAAATCCTTAGGAGTGTATATTTTGGAATATAATATATTGTTTACGCGAAGTGAGGCGCGAGCGGTCGGTGAGGTTAGCAATGGACGAATACGTCAAGATCAAGCATAGCATTAGAGTAAGATTACACGGCAAATAATATATAGCAAGACTTCATTTTTTTTTGTAAATTTAAGTAACTCTAGTGTAATATAACCGTAAATTTATAACAGATTGTTTAATTGTATATTGATATTTGCTTAAAACTAGACAAAGTCCCGTGTCCAAGCGGACAGACCCGGACTCTGACTCGCGGAAGACGAAGCAATATTACGTCACGACTACGTTGAATTGGTCACGTGACTCATTGTTACTGACGTAACTGTAACTCAATGTTACTTAAAGAGTAAAATACGACGTGAAATCCGTTACCTACACCTTACAAACTAACACATTCAAATGACAATAACGATACAGTTTACCGAATCAATATGATATAATACAAAACGGTACATTCATAAGGATCATAATAATATTACATCCAAAACACTAATTGTAAAAATGCCAAAAGGTTCAAAAAGGTCTAAATCCAATTTAGTCGAGTAAAATATATACAAATGCATCGAATGATTACATCATTGAATTATACAATTACAATGTTTTCGAAACATATCACAACACATATTCATCTTAATTTAATTAACTACGCGTATAAAATTATCGGACGTAAAGGTGTTGGACCTTTTACATTTTATTTTTTTTGGCATTTTGTGCGTCTCGATTATAATTTGTTATACCACTTAAAACCATTAATAAACTGCTAGCGTATGCTGTATACATTATAGATTACAATCGTATTATATTAAAATTAAATGATTATAAAATTTACCACAAATGTACGCATAACAAACAAACAGCTCTCGAATAGCATCACATACGTAAAACACCTAATAACTTTTGAATATACAGCATATCAAAAGATCAATCAGATAACAAATACATTATAAGATCGCACAAGGTATAAGACACAAGACGTCTACTCGGACTCGTGAATGCCGGACTCGCAGTCCTCGTCCTTGGCGTCGAGGCGCGTCTTGAGGTCGTCGATGAGCGCGGCGGGCGGCGCCAGCAGCTGGCACACCACCTCGCGGCCCGCCAGCACGGCGCGCGTGCCCCCCGCGCCCGCCGCGCCCCCGCCCTCGCCCGCGCCGCGCCCGCGCCACTCCGCGATCTTGCCCTCGATGTCGAGCGTGCTGCGCTTGGAGCCACTGCGCGCGGACACGTCAGATCGCGCATGCCCTACTATCGCTATCTAGGGCGACTAATGCCACGGTGAACCTCTTATGTATTGAAGGCGAGATACGAGATTGTTTAAAATTTCAAAACTAAGCAATCTAATTTAAATTTAATTTTATAATATTTTTAAATTTTGAAAAACTAAACCAGTCGCGATCACTAAAAGGTTCACCATGTCTGCTCTAATCTACACTATCGCCCATTGAACGGCTAAGTTATCCAAGAACTAAACTTTAGTGATGCAAGAAATGACATGCGCGATTCGGACTCGCGTGGGAGGACTCGGTATCACGTCAAGTGTTACACGAGCCCTCGGTCACTAAATCAGACGATGAATGCTATCACCTACCGAGAACGGAAAAGAAAAAACTAAAAGTAACTGAACTAAACATAACTGAACAGTCTGTCGTTAGGTCTCCTCGTGCGGGAGGTACATGCGAGGTCACATGCGGCTGGCATGCTCACTTACGGCTAGTTTGTTATTACATATCACCACTTAATACATAACTTAAAGTCTATGTTACATATAACATATATCTAAAGGAAAATAGATAAGGATCAAGAATCCTAACTTTTATACCCATGCATAGTTTGCATACGGCCTTAATAAGTAACGTCGCGAAAAAAAGGTTTAATTTTATGAAATGTTAGAATCGAAAATGATTTATGTATGATTTTTTGAATATTTTAAAGCCATATGCGTAGAAGAGGAAGCTCGGAAGAGTAAGGGAGCGCGCGGGGAAGCCGGGGAGCGTGTAGCCATGCAGCGGGGGAGGCGGGGAGGCGGGGCGGCGGCACTTACTTGGCGAGGGGAACGTTATCGCGGTCCGCGTACGCGTCATACAAATACTCGCTGCAACAGACAACAGACCGGTTAGCGAGCACGGACCGCGGACCTGAACCCTCGAACGAACTCTTGCCTACTCAATTTTGGTGAAATCTACACATTTTTATATTATTACTGTTCCAATTGATAAAATCACTATAATAAAGGATATAATGTTCGCAATCTCCTGTGGGGGGACATATTGGACCATTGAATTAGGGGTGTTTGATAAGAGTTCGATAGCGAGTTCACGAGGTGCCTTAACAAACAAATGGGACGGGCGTGGACTGTGTAAATATTATACCATATGAATAATAACGGCTGCGACTGTACACAAGTGACTACAAAAACTGTCCTGTTCTAAAACTACTCAACAATAACATTTTAGTGTCTAATGAAGTCGTTAAAGACTAAGAATGACGATTTAGAGAAAAAATTGCACTTTTTTAAAAAAAAACACGCCAACAACGCTATATAATATGGAACATTTCTAAAATATTATAAAGAACGACATTTATATAGTAATATAATATATTTTAAAGACCTATTTAAACACCTTAACCTAATTTAAAATACGTGTCGACTGTACACTGAAAAGTAAAACGTTAGGATGATGTTTCATGAATCAAACCAAAGACAAAACTATGAAACGGAACTATCTATAGGTGCCAGTCTATGCTACAGGGAGATGCGCTACAGCGGGCTGCGGGGCGGGGGCGAGCGCGGCCACACTTAGGGCTCATTGGAACGCATGCACTACACGAGTCACGGTTGACATATTGAGTTGTGGGGGCTAAGTCATTCAATAAGACAATAATACATTGAGTTTTAATATTTAGTTAAATTGATTCACACGTGAAAAATATTTATGTAAAAGTATATATAGAGTACAAGCTTTTAGACAAAACTCTAAAAACAAAATTTAAAACGTTATTTCATTAGCGCCAGTCTAGTGGTCGTAGAATTATCCAGTATAATGTGCGAAATGAAAAAGAATGTACAAAATTGTGTTAGAAAAACAGGAATAGTAACTTATATAAATCAATCACTTTTATTTTAAGGTTATTAATTTGATGCTAACTATATCTAAAAAAATATGTTACCTCAGTATTTTTAATGATACAAAAAAACATTTATTCACGGAATATAAATGAACGCTAATGAAATATCGTACTTTTTGTTAGGTACAATTTTTGTGCACTAGTAAGGCAAGGTATGGGATATTAGATTCCAATGAGCCGGGCGTCAGGGAACAAGCCACTATGGGTCGAAGAGCACACGTCTCGAGCGAGAAACAGAGCGGCGCCGCTACTCTGCCGACCACTGCTTCGTAATAGCCATCACAGACAATTATCTATCGTATTGTTGACTTTTAAACTGCTCTCTTTATTAAATTTATTTATAAAGAAGATCATATAGAAGAAAGAAATTATTTTAGATTGCTTTTTGTGTAAAATATTTTTTTTTGTCATTCTTCCGATAAAAGTTATTTTTCATTCTCATTCAGTTGTATTTAACGTGCCACCGCTCAGCACGGACCTTTCCCCCAATTTAAGGGGGATCTGAGCACAGGCCTTCTGTTTGTATATCGTAAGTCTTAAGATTTAAAGGCAACAATACAACATAGAGATGTTTAATATAAGCGTAGTGGTCGCCGGAGCGGCGGGCGCAGTTACCGTCGCCGGCTCGGCGTCACCGCGCGCCGCGCCGCCGCAGCGCCGCGCACTCGCTGCACACACAACACGGTCAGGCCGGCGCCCTAGCCCTACCGCAGCGGTCCCCGGCGGTGGCCCAAGGAACCCTAGGGTCACACGGGTTCGGGTTCCGTCCGAGAGTTAAATAAAATGTTTTCGAACATGAAACCCAAATTTTGAGTACTATTTTTCATTTATGATTTGTTATTTCGAGTCAAACAAGAAAATATTCAAACTATAACAGAATCAGTTTAGTGATTACCTAAAATGGGGATCCGTTAAAAAAATTACAATCAATTAGGGTTCCGTGGGCAAAAAAATTGGGAACCGCTGCTCTATCGGACGTCACTAACCTACTCTATCCGATATCTTTAATTTTATCCTTCGCTTCTTAGTATTTCTTTAGTTATTATATTATTTAGTTATTATATATTAATTATATCTGGGCTTTATTGTATTTAAATATTAAATTTCGTAAGCTATAAAAATTTAAGTATTTCAATGTTACTGAATCGAAAATCGAGAATAGTTAATCGACTTGCACTACACCGAAGATTAATATTAAAATGGCGGTGAGTGAAATTAAATTAAAAAAACTTGAAGAACAGAAAAGCTAGATCTAGGTAACTAGCGAAATTTCACTGTACTAAAGTTTTGCCCCCAATGATCTTGCAACATGTATGTTTTACTTTAATTGATTATTATATAAAGCGAACGCTTCGTTGCGCTTTTAATAATAAATTTTAATAAAAATTAACTTCTGGACACAGCATATACGTTTATATAAGTTTACGGACAATATGCCTGTTTCCTGCCAAACTCCGCGTCACTAGGCTCTTCAACCACACAGAGACGTGCTAAATGAATTTAACAATAGATTGCGTCGACATTAATGCTTGTAACGAGAGAGCGGGACTTCCCCGACAAATATAAAACTACCCCCAAAAATATTAACTTAACGAATGTCCAACAATTCCTACTCTCTCGGATACAATGAACCCGAACATAACATATGGGACGAAACGGGTGCTTTCGTAAATGATATAAATAAGGGGCGCCATTCACTACGGTAGGGGATGAGGGTGCACGACAAACCCAAATCAGTCACATCGACAAACTCAGTAACGAAGGAAACAGACCAATCAAATCAAATTATATGGAAATTATAACAACGTAAATTATTAATAAAACATAAAAAAAAATAAACAAATAAAAACGGCTCGAATGCAGTTTGATGGGAACAATTAAGTTATTTGCATGAGAGCCGCGCGGTACCAACTGAACTGTAACAATGGTAGATGAGTGACGGAACAAACCGCATAAATATATATCAATATCATCTTTTCTTTCAATTTTGATTCTTCTTTTAATTTAAAAAAGATGTGTTTTTTTTTATTTATGCAATTTATTAAACACAATATTTTAATACTAATATAGAAAATATTATATGTAAATTATTTTATATACTTCAGGAAGATAAAATAATTTATCATATAAAATGTTTAATTTTAAGTTATCGATTGTATTTTTAATAGTGTAAAGTGTAAAGGCTCTATTTTTATGTTTGTTTAATTAAAAAAAAAGTTTTATTTTATCTAAATCATTAAAATATTAAGCACTAAACAATACATAATAATTTAATAAACTTATTTATTCGAATTTAAAACTATACTTTTTTGTAAAATATTAAATATTTGTGTAAATTTAAGAAACTTAACGAAATTAATGAACATTAAAGTTTTAAGACCTATAATATTTATCGAGCCATGTCTGTGTGTGTGTGTGTGTGTGTGGGGGTGGGGGTGGGGGTGTACGTACGCCTCGACGAGCGGGCCGGGGTAGGGGTCGGGGCGGCGGTACAGGCGCGCCAGGCGCTGCGCCACCGCCAGCAGCGGCAGGAACAGCGCCACGCACCACGCCAGCGACACCCAGAACCCGTTCTGTCACACGACACACGCTACACTCACACGCTACACGCCACGAGAGCTCACGGCGTCGTATTTACCACCTTCATATGTATATTGATTCAAGGTGGGTGGTGTGGGATTATTTACCAGCAGTTAAGTAGTGTGTCAAAATTCCATAAGAGGTTAAAGGGGTATGAATACCATAGGTAAAACCGGTGCTGTAAATCAGTCATTCTAGTGTTGTACTTATATGGTATATTAATCATGTACATACATATCTACCATTAGAGTTGTGTGTAATGGTAAACCAATGAATAATATTTCCAATGTTTTACTGGTATTTATAGGTAGAATGGGATCGAACCATATTTTAATAGTTTAATTTTTAAATCACTCGTAATTTATCCTTTTTATGAGATACTAGAGCAAATAAAGAAAATTACATTGTAATATTCGTATTCTGACAACAGCAAAACAATGTTCAATAATCACTCGACAACTTCGATCATTTAACATTAATTAGACTTAATACTTAGCTAATTTATCCTTAGCTTGATAACACGACGATACCAACATCGTTAGATTAAATAAATCTCGGCCGTGTTAAATAAAAAAATCTCATTAATTTCTTTCAACTCCCTCAAGACAAATCGCTAATATCGGCTTCAACAAAGGACAAGTGTACATCTAAGTGTAAGTGAATGCGGCCGCGTACCGTGGGCATGAGCACGGCGCGGCACAGCGTGTCGCGCGTGGCGTTGAAGGCGGCGGACAGCGGGCCGCAGCGGCCCACGCGGCGCCGCGCCGCCGCCTCCACCATCGCCACGTACTCCTGCAGCCGCTGCCCCATGCGCTCCGCGAACTCGCGCGTCAGCTGCCACACACACACACACACATGCTCATATCTAAGCTAACGGGCAGCTCGCTCGGGACACCGAGGGAAGCGGGTTCGAATTCCGAGCCTCGAACATCTGATACTTTAATACTTTCTTAGATTTACGCGAATACTTGACATTTTTAATAAAACTATCTTTAATCTGATACTTTATGTGCGAATCATGACCAACATGATTACTACTTGTCTTACGGTGAAGGAAACCATCGTGACGAAACTTGCATGTCTGACAGAAACTAGCAAGTTTGCGCAGAGCGCCCTTGTTTTATACGAACGAATGTTTATTTCCAAACTATATATTTTGACTTTCTAATTTAGGGATGAATTATGTCTAAAATGGGAGGTTAAATTATAATTATATTTTTACACTATAGAAAATTTTGAAACTTTCTACTTTTAATCCTACAACGGGGATTCGCATATTCTATAATTTTAGGAATCATATATATTCCAACACAAAAGATAAATAACATATGTGCAATTACAAATAGATAGGTAGTACGCAATTCTTCTTCTCACTCTCATAGTAGTATATGTATATAGTTCAGATATTCATAAATATTTATTAAATCAAATTAATGATTTAAAAGATTTTAATGCTTTTACTAGTTCCCCAAATTACAACATCCTATAAAAACCCCGGTCAACTGCGAATCAAACTCGCAAACAAAGATTTCCGTACCAATGATCATATAAGATATAAGACTATGAATTTTTTAAGTACTTTTGTAAATGGAACAAGAGGTGCATTTCTTTTTAATTTACATGGCGGCTATTTTGAAATTCCTTATCTCGGTTTTGTATTATTTATTGTTACAGCAGCGATAACAATGCACGCTCTGTGATGAGATGCAGAGAGCGACGGACGGAGTGAGAACTCACGTTCTGCACGAGGTCGGGCCCCTGCGTGTTGAGGAACATCTCGACGTCAGCGGTCTCGCGCATGCGCACATGGATGGCCTCCTTCAGCGACGACTGGTTGAAGCGCAGCACGTCGCGCAGCGCCGACGCCGTCGCCTGCGACACGCGCACACACATACACAATGTTACATGCCATTTTGAACGCTATTCTTATGCAGGTAAAAGTGACTTTCATTTTTACTTAAGCATAATCGGGTTGATATTATAAATGTCAAAATTTATTTGTGAGTTTATACTCATTTATATGTAGTTGTTACACTAGAAAGGCTGGACATATTTAGATAAAATTTAATATATAAGTAGACTATGATTTGGAGGCATATGTTGGGCACATATCCTACCATTATACACTTAGGGATGTACTCGAGCAAAATATGGTATGTTTTAAGATTAAATATTCTCAGTCGCTTATTGATTATTATTCGGTATTGACATATGCACACGTGTCAAGGGATGTATGTCGTATGCATTCTTATGCCAGAGCCCTACATATGTAATGGACATTCCTTGAAATCTGTAGTCCTCTAGTACTCTAAGCTAAGGGCACCCCACAATGTGAGGTTGAGGTCATGATAAGTACCAGGCGAGCATAAGCGTTAAGGAATGCATGTGTGATGAGGTTCAACACTCACGTTGAGGTCGGCGGTGGCGTCGAGCATGGGGCGCACGGCGTCGGCGTGCAGCCTTGCCAGCGCCTGCGCCGCGGCGCGCAGGTCGCGCGCCACGTCCGCGAAGCCGCCGCGCGGCGCCAGCGCGCGCGCCGCGCCCTCCAGCTGCGACGACAGCTCCAGCAGCGAGAACGACGTCATGTTCGTCTCCAGCTGCACATGTTGTATTGTTTCATTTATTTATTTATCCGCTTCGCTAACGACTTTTATATGAAATGGTTTATCTTAAAGCTATAAAGGTCAAATTTTTATTAACATCTGTAATCTTTACTTCTTCAGTATTTTGAGCGGATCTTAAAGAATGTTTCACTAAATTTGGGTAAATGTTTAAAATCTAGTTCTAAAATATAATCCGGCAGATAAGATCAAAAGTATGTATAATTTTGTGTATACTTTAATATTAGAAACATTTGATTTATTTCTAAAACTTACCTTAAAATTGGGTAAATATGATAAAATACCATAAATAATTTGCAAACGCATATAACATTTTAGTCAAGCCTGAACTGATTTTAATTGAATATTAAAGTATGATTTAAAAATATGTACAAATTGCAGTTTACATTCCTCAATACAGTAAGTACAGTTTATGTTACTAATTCAATAAGTATTACAAATATGGTATTCAAATCGAAATGATAAAAAACATGTAGAAGGAAGAGTTTACTATAGAGTGGTTACCGCGTATAATATGTTATTCAAATCGACAGTTTAGAGGGAGATGTAATAGAATGTACAGGTGGGACTACCGCATACGATCGCATCAGAGTATAGACCAGGGCTGCCAGTAGAGACAATTTATTTTATACCGCTGAGCCACTCAAATTATATCAAATCAAATTTTATTATACTAGTTAACAAAACTGTTGAGAAATAATCTGTGATAAATAAAAAAAAAAAAACTAAAAATACGTAACAACTTAAAATGAAATATACGTAAAATAACGATATTGAACAATGTTCGTATCCAACGTGCGTACCGCGTAGAGTATCCTGTCGAAGTCGAAGTCGGAGAGCGGCGTGGCGGCGAGGCGGTCGAGGCGCGCGCGCGCGGCGGCGGGCAGCACGCGCAGCGGGCGGCCGCGCGGCGGGTAGTCCGTGTGCAGCGCCGCCACCGCGCCCGCCACGCGCGCCGCCACGCCGCCCGCCACCGCGCGCAGGTCGTACACGCGCTCCAGCTGCAGCGTCTGCCGACATGGACGTTCTACTTTAACTTGTTTTCACAAAAAAAGAATTACATTAAGAGCACGGTCGAATGTTCAAATGGGTACTTATTCGGTGAGGTCATTTTTTGTCGCCGATTGTGTATCCAGTAATTTTTTGATCGATGACAATTATCTATTGTAATTGCAAAATTTTATGAATGAGTTTTGGCATAATTATATAATAATAAATGAGTATAATCCAGTCACTGGACGAATTTGGATGAAATTAAGTACACAAATAAGATATGATCTGAAGTAGCTCATAGGCTACTGTTAGCAACCTGGGGACATACCCGTGTGTGTGTGAAAGATAAACACCTAGTAATATACATATAATTATTTTTTAAATTATTAATATCTCTCCAAAAATGTGACTTATTTAAAATATATATTTAAATTACTGACACTCCTCACTTTTCCACTACAGGAAACTCATGAAAAGAATAAGAGGTTACATTTAGTATTTATTATTTAAATCTAACTTCGAAATGTTAAAAATGCAGTGTGATAATTTAGTGTGTAAGCACGAGGTAGAAGGTGGCCGGCGTCACCTCGTAGACGGTGCGGTTGGCGTGGCAGTGCAGCAGCACGGACGTGAGGTTGAAGTCGGGGTCGCGGCTGTCGCCGTACAGCGCGCGCTCCAGCTGCACGAACCGCTCCACGTCCGAGAACACCAGGTTGTCGCGCGGCTCGCTGCCGTCACACACGTCTCGTATTAGTTATATAACAAATTATACATAAATATTTAATATTATTCATGAAATACATAATCGATACCTCGTATTACGAGTACATACATTACTTTTACTTATAAACAATGTATACGACATACTCGTATATAATCAAATCTTAAAAGTTGATTTTAACTGTGTCTTATTAACTGTCATATTGGTAGATTTTAAATTGTACTTCTGAAATTCGGGTTAGAATATAGTAATTTCATAATATAACCCTGATCTGATTAGAAAGTCAGAACTGAGAATACTAATAATGAAATTCTGTAAGCTCAGATGTGTGATTGGCGGTATTTTTTAATTTTCTTTTTTAAATCTATTTTAAGAAATTAACTAATGGATGTGAATTATAATAAAGGTTACTGTTCAACGTAGTGAGTGAACAGACTAAGTGGCAGGGCGCGTGCACTCACACGAGCGGGTCGCAGACGAGGCGCGTGGCGGCGAGGCCGGCCGCGAAGTGCGCCAGCAGCGCCAGCGCCACCGCGCCGCCCACCGCGAACGTCACGGCCATGCCGCTGCGGCACACATCAACATGTTTTACATGTCATTATAGAAATACAATATTTAAACTTTAATCCTATAGGTTCAGTGATTGTGTCTGAACGTAATCGATTAAAGCAGTGCAAGCAAAGGCCAAGCGAGCATACCATTCATTTCAAGTCCAATAAACAATTTTTAGCCAATATTTTCCATATGGTTTTCCTTGTTTAAATACTTGCTTGTTTTTATTCTTAAAGACAGTTTACCATTTGCCATCGAGCAATTTTAATTTGCTTGACTTTATATAAAATTTAAAAATTAAGTTATATTTTTTAGTTTATTGCATTATAGATTAGATATAACAAACAGTCCATAACGATCACAAACACTGACCAGAGCAGACACGATGCGCCAGCACCCTTGTTGCAGCAGTCGCTGGCGCCGTACGCGTCGGGGCGCTTGCCGCACACGCCGCACAGCAGCCCCCACACCAGCAGCAGCAGCACCGCCAGCAGCGCCGCGGCCGCCGCGCGCGCCGCGTGGCGCCGCGCCGTCGCCGCCGCCGCCAGCCGCGCCGCCAGCCGCGACGGCAGGGCCGCCGCGCCCAGCGCCGCGCTGGCGTTGCCAGCGCGCCACGTCACCTCGCGCGCCACGCCCGCCAGCCGCTCGCCCGTGCCCGTGATGGCGACGCGCACGCGCGGCACGTGCTGCTCCACCGTGCGCTTGATGCCCTCGAACACCTCCAGGCCGGCCGCCACCTCCGCGCGCATGTCGCCGTCCAGCAGCGCGCTCACGTTCGCGAGCAGCTCCGACACGTCCGGGATCTGCAACACGCACGCGCACACGTTACACGCCCGCCCCGCTGCCTCACACTCTCACACGCACACGCACACGCCACACCGCACTCACCGTCGGGAAGTACTTGTCGAGCATCTGATCCGTGCCAGCGTGAAATTTTGCGAAATGAAACATTAGTTTTTCATAAAGTTTTTCAAGATATTTAAAACCACAAAACATACATAACATTTATTTACATTGTAAATGCGACATAAGTTGTAGATTCTGCATCTCTTTTAGAGGCGTCAAACTAAAATCTTAAATGTTTTAACATTTAATATACAAAATACCTTGTGTTTTTTATTATTTTATAATACCTTGTTGTACTGTATCTCGGTGTCGAGCTGCCCGATCTGGTGCTTCTCCTGCAGCTGCACGCAGGGCCGCTCCTTGCACGTGGCCAGCGTGCGCAACAACGACGACCGCACTTGCCGCAACCCTGGCGACGTCATGTTTATATACATTAGGGAAATACACTCGAACACCAAATATGTATACTGATTTTCATAAAAAAACTACTCATTTGATCGACAAGACAAAATGCTAACTACCGCAGAAAGTGATGTTATCATACCAGCATTAAGATCCTCCGCCTTGGTCCGCAAAAAAGCCGTCTTCCGCTGCACGCTCCTCAGCTGCGCGGGCACGCTCTCTAGCTCCGCCACCATCGCACTCAACTTCTGTACCGACGTGGCTCTCGTGAACTGGTCCAGCTTCACCAAAACTACTTTCCCACTGGTAGTAAGAGTTGCATCTAACTGCTCTTCGAGTTCTTTATAGTTTTGTACGAGTAGATGGTGGGCGTGGGCTTGTGTGGCGTTAAGGAAAGTCTGTGTGTCGCGTATCCCCGCTCGGATGGCGTCGGGCGTCGCTTGCGAGCCGCTTTCTATCTGGGAGTCGGTGGCGAAGGCGCAAACAACGCCAAACCTGCGTGGACATTACCAATTTAGAAGATGACTAAAACACCTCATATTATGGCGTCCGTAAGTGATATCCTCTACTTTTTTAATGTTTAATAAAGAGGGAAAATATTATATCATTTTATATCAAAAACTATCCATAATCACGCTGAGTTCCATCCGCCAGTTCTTCACAGGATTCTTTTACAACTACGTGATAAAATATGTACCTAAGCCTGCGACAGTTGGGTCAGTCGCCTAAATTATATAAGAATAAGTCTAAAATTACTTACAGAAATAGCGTTAGAAGGCAGATGAACACGATAGCGAGTATACCCTTCAAACAGGCGTCGTATTTTCTATCGAAAGGTCTTCGACGTCTACCAACCCGGCACCACTGGCAGCAGCACCAAAACAACCTGCATCATTTCATTTCACCTCTTACAAAAAGCAGTAAAAAAAAATATGTTTAAACATTAATACACAGCACCATCTAGTTTCATGGTAAGCTACGAGACTTGTGTTATGGATACCAGGTAGTTGGTACACTAAATATAAATAAAAACATATTATAAACACCCATGACTGGAGTACAAACATTCGTGCTGATCACACAAATGAATGCCCCTAGCGGGACTCGAACCCGCGACTGCTGGCACTGCAAGTAGGGTCACTACAAACTAAGCCAAACGTGTCGTCAAAAGAAATTGAATTGCCATTTTAATTTTTATACATTCTACAATTCATAAAGATAAAGAATAAAGATTGAAACATTATATGGAGCAATCTTAATTATCGTTGAACGATCATATTTTGATATTTGTTAAACAACAATTTAGATAAGATTTTTTTTAAAACAATTTTATCATAGTTAATGAGTTTCTATTGGATGTGAAGTGTTTGAATAATGGATTGAACTAATTTTGAACAGGAAAGACAGTCACCCCGACAGTGGTAATATGATGACGAGCAACCCCACGACGACCAGCACGCCGACGGGCCCCGCGTAGTGCGTGAGCAGCGTGCGCCACTCCTCGCGCGGCGACGCGAACTCTATTTGCCCGTCTGACACTATCACCATGCCTGGAAAGAACAACGATTATGCTTCATTACAGTTGTATTTCTACGAAAATATTTAACAATTTTTGACATGAAGACGTTCATATAGAAGTGTATATTTAGAGAACACAACACCTGTACTTACATTAAGAAATAATAAGGATGAGGCATATATGGCAATTCAATTTCGAATTCTAAACAAATTCTACACAAATACGTTGCCCTAATTAGTTAACATTTACTATAGGTATTTGTGTAACATGATTCATTTAGATATTTGTTGCTTAAGTTATATTTTGGTAAAATTAATTAGTATGTATATTTTATTTAATATAGTTTTTAATAGTTATTATAACATGTTTATTCTGAGTGTTGTTATTATACATAGTTTGTTCGGAATACCTGTAAATTATAATAGGTACGTGTGAAGACTGATACTTTGTAACATAATATTTATGTACTACTGTTGGTGTTGCTATATTAAATAAATAAAAAAAGAAATAAATTTGATTTTTATCAGAGTAAATAATAACATTATAATGTGTGTACTACACATCACATCACCACATGACACACAACAACTACGAGTATAATCTCAAACACTAAGCGATATGGTGACAAAGTTTATTTTTCATTACCTTTTCTTTCAATAGTGTACCTACAAGTATTATATATATGTATGTAACTACCATAAAAATATGCCATAAAAATCGAGATCCAACAATTTTTAACTTTTAACAAAAACTAACATTTTATCTTTTGATTAATGAAAAATTGAGAAGAAACTAAAGAACATTTCTAGCCACCAGCCACTAGGTCACATCCATTCAATTATGATGTGAACAGGAAAATTGTCGTTAAGACGTTATCCGGCACCCGCCCACTTATTTTCTTCCCCCTCACGAACGATTGAGGCGATTTGATAAGGCACCCTATTATATATTTCGAGCAAATTCTAATTCAATACACGTATTCTTTTTATATAAAATAATTGTAAACAAACTGTGTAGATAAACAAGAAACAAAAATATAATATGTATGTCTTTAAAGTTATATACCTATGTCTAGTCCAACTACGAGTATATGGTATAACTCGTAGTATATGGTATCCATAACACAAGCCTCGTAGCTTGCCATGGAACTAGATGGTGTTGTGCGTTAATGTCCCAATATAATATTTATATTTAAAATATTTAAATCTCGCGACAAACTTTTATATCATATAACTTGTTTTCCTTAATCATTCCAAATCATGTCACGGGAAAACACATGCATTCGAACTTAAATAATTTTAGGAAGGAAATATTTAATAATATTGCCCATTATTATATCTCTGTTCAGTATGAAATAATATGTAAAATTAGCAACCCATTTGAATTTATTGCGGATTCAGGCCAATTTGCTATTTTCTAAAATATTTTTGCGATATAGAATAAACGCCTGACTTGCTAAAGAAAGAGCGTAACTATGTAAAACAACATATTCCAATGCAAAGTTTTACAACCATTTAAAATAAAACAGGTTCCACGACGACAAACTACAGACACATAGATCATCGAAGAACCGTTCGCATTAATGAAAATTAAACAACCAAGACCGCGCCTCGTCGCGGACGTGGATGAATGGGACCCAGTGTGCCCGTTTTAATTACCCTGACGAGATGTAAGTATCAATTGTATAGTCGACATTTCACAAGATACAAATTAAAGCAACAAGTCGCCGCCTGTTGATTAATTAATTGGGCAGTTGTAGCTAGCCTCTAACCATCAGTTATGTGCGATCGCGACAACTTATCTGTACGTCTTCAATTGCTCTCATCGTGCTTGTTCTAATAAAACGATAACGGCGTTTCGTGACAATATAAACTCTATAAAAATAAACATATGGTTGGTTATAGAGTGTGTTATCACATGTAGGACAAAGCGATAGCCTGTTTAGGCCAATAAAATCGACTGTCTCCTCCGGACGTGCCGTCAGCTAAGACTCTTTCGCGTACGATTACTGTTAAACGTCATATTCCCGTTATACATATTAAAAATAACGCTACACATTTACAACTTTTTTTTTTTATTTAGTATCTCCGAATGTAAATAAAAACAATAGTTAGAGTTACATTAAAGGTTTTGCTCTTATTTAAGTCAAAATAATTTTGAGTTCACTATAATCATGATTACATGCTAAACATACATACATACATATAAATGTATTTTTACATTGAAAACTTTCGAATTTACAATACTATTGTTCAAATTTTTTTACTATTTAAACTAAATAGGTACATTATTATGTGACGCCTGAAGAAAGTATCATTGAGCAACGAAATATTTAACTACTATAAAATTAGCCATGATAAGAGTTCATTTATTTGCTTTAATAAAACATTATATTACTACAATTTGATACATACGCTACCTATCTATAATTTCATAAACTTATACAAGCGGCTCGTTGGTCTAGGGGTATGATTTTCGCTTAGGGTGCGAGAGGTCCCGGGTTCAAATCCCGGACGAGCCCAAACCTTTTTAGTTTATTTTATACATTATTTTTTTAAAAAGGATGTGAATGATTAACGGTATGATACTATGTTTAATATTTACAATATAATACAAAGATATTTTTACAACCTCTAACGTACAAAATTAACCAATGATTTTAAATAGAACAGATGTTTTTGTAAAATATATATTATGTATGTATTTGAACTGCCTTCCAATATCTTCTCTCATTTGCATTGACAGTTGATCAATATCATTTACAAATACTTGATATGAAAACGCTTAAAATAACTATAGTATTCGAATTGATTTTATAGGAAATTTTGTATAACATGACTTTCATTCTCGACGTTTCATATAATAGCAATCGTTTATAAATTCCAGATAAAAGTAACTCAAAGGCTCATTCGATTGTAATAAGGGCCCCCGAGCGCGACGTTGGAACAAGTAACAGTACTCCGGTGCGTGTGCCGAGGTCGAGGCCTCTTCCTCTCACTGCTTCATTGTCAAATGAGAATCACTTCATATGCTAATTATATGGTAAGTATATTTGTACCGCATTCACAAATTTTGTATATTTTCATATTTCATTAGTATAGATTCCTGGTTTTAAAAATACATGAAATTTAATCAGAAATCATTCGAAATAAAATTTTAGTTAGTAGTTAGTATTTAGTTAATAGTGGGATGTTGGGAATGTTTAATGAGCAAGAAAGTGAGAAGCGTGAGACTATTTTATTATCTCATAACTTGTATTATATATATGTACAGTGTACACAGTACATATTACATACAACGCACATACTTGTGTAGGTACTTAATACTGTATGATAACTACATCACATCTAGTTGATATTTCCGTTATAAATTAAGGCAAGCCAATCAATAATTAATTTATTGAAAACACAAATTTTTCCGTGATAAAAAGTAGCCTACGTGCTAAATTCAGACTAGGTATATTCTTTGTGCCAACATTCATCCAGATCCGTTCAGCCGTTCTGGCGTGATTGAGTAACAAACATCCAAACATCTAAACTTTTACATTTATAATATTAGTTAGATTAGTAAGACAAAATAAGTAGGTGATGCTTTTTGACAAGACTCATTGTCTATAACAGTGGGTCAATTATAAAAACAGGTTCATAAGCAACTTGAATGGAGTATCTAGGTCGTTGTAAGTCGTAAGAATTGGATCCTTAGAGAGTACGTAACTTTTGTGTTATTTATAGAGCACAGATTAAACTACGAATAGGTACTTTGTAGAGAGATTTTATGAATCAATTTTTTTATCATTTTATAATTTTTATATTCGTCTATTAGTCTGAGAAATAAATTAAAAAAATAATAATTGTATTAGTACCTAAGTATCTGGTGTTTTATAACGTACGGGTCTTCTCTTACAAAAATCAATTTTTTTGCTGTCTGTTTGAACAAGTGTTAGTTGAGCACGATTTAATTCGCGAATATCGCATAGTAATTGCTACGACCCATAAAAATTATCTTTGTTCGAAAATTTATTGACGCCTTGCCGCGTAGCTGCGCGAGACAAGGGTAAATGAACAAATAGATTTTACATTTATTTAATTATAATTTTAAGTGCGAATACGATACGTCACAACTAACGTAGTTCACATAATATTTAACAATAGATTACATGGTTACAAAATATACCCATATAAACCTTGATCGTTGCGCTTTGTTAGCCAGCCTCTACCGCTACAGTCACTGCGTGCTTTAATATACCTACTAGCTTACATGCGATCTCAGTGCCATCTTTACACTACTTATATGCTTCTAAGAAAAACTGTAGTATTTGACAAAACAGTACATTGGGCTCAGGTGATAGGGTTAGAAGAAATCTTTTATGTCTTCTATATCATAGCACAAATAAAGAAAACATTAATAGCTTTATGTAAGAAAACTATGTACATATATCTACTATCTAGTATGAAGGCAAGTTAAACACGTAACAATATCGAAACCGCAAGTGTCTGTTAACAAATATGATAACGTAAACAGAACGGATCATATCAACAACACGCGCACGTATCGTCTGCGCCGGGAACCTTGGCCGTCGCGCTCTGCCAGCCATCCTCTGCCGCGCCGCGTTACCTGCCTTACGCGTATTACACAAGACCGCGTTTCTACACGGTTCATGCTACACAAACCGACGTAATTAACGCTATTATGTATAGTATATTTACATGAGCAATAGCAATTTAATGGGATTTTTTTTTAAATAGAGGAAGAGCCCGTGAACGCCAGACCTTCATTTTATAAAGGCTGAAAGTTTGTCAGCGCGTGCTCCCAACACAGATAAGAACGATGGACCATTATGAAGTTCAGGCTATGGTGGCTTTGGCAGGTACACGGTACTAAAGGTGTGTAAAGTACCGATCTAAATTCATCAAATAATAAAGTGTGATTTTTTGGTATTACCTTCGGAATATTATTAAAAATCACGTCATTCAATGCCAGACAACATCGTGGCAAACCCTTGCCAGACACCCTTTTCATGAAATTATAATT